GGCTGTCCAGACAGCCACTAGAAGGCACTTCTGGGTTTATAGCACAGATTTTCTGTGCTATAGGGTCGCGGGACGTCCTCACACTATGTGAGGACCTCCAGCGTCGCTGAAATCCCCATAGAAAAGCATTGAAGCAAGCGCATTAGGTCTCCCCCGTCGCCGGTCCCGCATGCGCAATAGGTCTCCCCCTGCCGGATGGCATTCATTATGTGTATAAACAATGTATAGCAAACATATACTAATGCACACATTTTAACCCAAAACAGTTTAGGAAACTGCTGAGTTGGCTTTGTGAACATTCACACAATCTACGTCAATGGTCGCCATCCCATTCTTCAGTGCACTTTAGTGCAGTCCAGGTTTTGTTAGTATTCTCATAGGAACAGAACTGGGAAATGCACAAATCATGGACTGTTACTGCACTTTGAGGACTGGGCTGAGAACCAATAGTCTACATGGTTGAATTGACTGTTTTGCATTTTGTCTACAACTGTGAGGATGCAGTCCCTGTTTTGCAAACAATGTATAATTGGAACTACTTAAACTTTATAATACTGAAGAGCAAACTGTTTCTTTTTCTTTTCCTTCATTTCAAGTCTTGTTTCCATTAACAAAGCCAGTGTCTTTATAGCTTGTACTTCGTTTTCTGGCAAAATAAAGACAATTCTTCTCCTAAAGTTGCATATTTTCCATTTGGATAAAGGAGATTTTAATTTGATCAGTTTAGTTGTGTATTGTGAAACACTTTCCATAATCTGAAAAACAGCTTACCCACTTTTTAAGAAAATAGGGCATATACGCCAAGCCCTGTTGAGACGTGACTCTTTTTTTTGTTCCTTCTTCTGAACATTTTGTCAGAACCAAACATTTAATGCTATTTTTTTTCTTTCAGTTATTAATATTCAATACATGAATGGATTACTGGCCCGACTGAATCTGGAGCTAAAGAAGTAATTGAATAAGATTTGGACGTAAACACTTTTCAAAGAAAGCATATGGACTTTGGTGAAAACTAAACTGGATTTTACGCATGTGTGACAAACCTAGCACTATACGAAATGTTTCCAAGTAGAAACATTTATCTGAATTATGTAAAAATAAGTTCTATTTGTTTGGTACAGACACTTGACAACTAAAGTACTTAGACAGGCAAATATCAGGATATCAGATATGTCTGTATGTTTTATTATCAAGACATTAAATTTAAGTGAAGATGCTATTTACTTAATCAATGTTTGATTCAGTATATGCCAGCATGACATTGTCCTTTCAAACATGTCGAAGGTGTTAAGTACCTTTGTGTTATTGTGAAATTTGAGTACATGTATGGTACTGGCAGTGGTTATCCGGTGAGCTGTGAATACAGGGGGAAACATGCTATACCCCCTCAAGATTACGATCCTTCAGGTGTATACTGTGAAAGGTTCACAGTGCTGCACTACAGAGAACTTTAAATCATGTGACTGTGACAATGTGTGATATTTTATAGCCCAGCATTGCATCTCCAGAAATGGAGCCCTCGATACACCCATCTCCAGTGAGACCATCTTTCCATGAGACCATGAATTAAGGGCACATTTCATTGTCGGATAGAGCCACCAGACCTTTTGGCAAAGAAGGAAACCGAGATAGTTTCCATACTTACATTTGGATGGAGTACAAGATGTGTTTCAAAATAAAAATAAAACATTCTGGAGGAATACACTAAATTGGTAGAACACAATCCAATAATGCTAAAATGTGTTAGAAAAACAACCAGGTTTGTTCTAGTTCCACAGATTGACCTTATGAAGTCAAATAAATTCATCCTAGTAGTCAATTCTGGACATATGGTCAATATGGTTTTCTTTCTTTACTCTTCCTTCAAGAAGTCTGTTGGCCTGTGTCTAGATGGTGGCACTATTTATATAGATAAAGAAAAAGATCTGTTCAAGCTGGATCAAGTCCAGATGCAGACCATCTGACCTATAATATTAACATTATGTGTTGTTCATTTAAATTGTAATCAGATTCCACCTCTCTCTATGCTGACTATTTTTACCATCATGCCCTTAAATTAAGCCCTTCACCAGGATGTCTTATGAAATGTCTCAGCTCACCTGAGTTTGGTATTATGAGTCTGTTTGCAGTTCAAGTATATCAATGCCAATTAAGATACCGGCATTTGCTTGGTTGGATTTTAACCTTATGATACCAGGTATATTTATTAAAGGATAGAGACAACCCATGATACTTTTACTTTATTTATAAAATCATTTATATCTAAAAAAAATTGCTGCTTATAAGGTAGTGTTAAAGCTCCTATTTATATAAAAGAAAAGTAGCTAAAATATTTCCGATTTGGCAAAAAACTTTAAAAACACTGTATGTGTGCTGGGGATTAAAATAAATATTGCTGTTAACAGCACACCCACATTAAAGGGACACTATAGTCACCTGAACAACCTTAGCTTAATGAAGCAGTTTTGGTGTATAGAACATGCCCCTGCAGCCTCACTGCTCAATCCATTTAGGAGTTAAATCCCTTTGTTTATGAACCCTAGTAACACCTCCCTGCATGTGACTTGCCCAACCTTCCATAAACACTTCCTGCAAAGAGAGCCCTATTTAGGCTTTTTTTATTGCAATTTCTGTTTAATTAAGATTTTCTTATCCCCTGCTATGTTAATAGCTTGCTAGACCCTACAAGAGCCTCCTGTATATGTTTAAAGTTCAATTTAGAGATTGAGATACAATTATTTAAGGTAAATTACATCTGTTTAAAAGTGAAACCAGTTGTTTTTTTTTCATGCAGGTTCTGTCAATCATAGCCAGGGGAGGTGTGGCTAGGGCTGCATAAACAGAAACAAAGTGATTTAACTCCTAAATGACAGTGAATTGTGCAGTGAAATTGCAGGGGAATGATATATACACTAAAACTGCTTTATTTAGCTGACTATAATTTAGGTGACTATAGTGTTCCTTTAATGTGGACCTGATGGAAAGAGACTCCAAAGATAATTCAGCCCTTAAACTACAAACACATGCCTAGCATACATATGTAATAAATCCATATGAAATGAATATGTGTACACTAAAACAAATTGAATTTTGCTATACAAAATTGAGATGTCTATTCACTAGGCCTACTGACTTGAGAAAGAGACTTGGAAATGTAGGCTTAAATATGAAAACATTTCTAAATCACCTGGGTTAGAAGGTCACAAGCTCAGTTCTAGCTGAAAATTCTCCCCTCTATTCTTTTTTCTTTTTTTATATAGTGAATAGTGCCAGTCATAAAATGTTTGTTCCTATATTAAAAAGTACTTTACACTTTCCTAAACTATGGCAATTTTATGTGACTTATCAAACTTTGTTGCAGGTAATCACAAAAATGTGATGTACAATTACAAATTGCTTTTTATTGTCAGTTTATATGGCATTGAATTTTATAATCTCAGTCTAGCTAAGGATACATTAACACCTTTAATTTAGGCTCTATGATTTTTAATTTACATATTATATTGAAGATGTGAAAATGCTCATTCAATTTTGCTTTTATTAGTTTTTCATTGTAAATTATGAAATGCATGATATAATTCATTTTGCTATTAATGCATTTCAATATAAAGATATAAAGCTAAACTAAAGTGACAATAAGGACAGTAAAAAAAAAAAAAAAAACCCTACACACACACTAACAAATATGGTGTTCATATATTTGGGACCGTTGTCAATCACTGAGTTTTTAAGACTAAATAAAATGTGCATTACCTTCATAATGGGTCTGTAAAACATACAGTTTATCACTTCTACATAATTTAAGAGTTTATTCACTAAACAACAAAAAAGTAGACGTTGAGACAAATTAGCAAAATTTCATGCAAAACAGCCGCTTTGGAAGCATTCGCCAACTGGTTATTTTAACCTGAATTTTGCTATATGGGTTTCAGTTCAGCCACCAATCATGTTTGTTTTTTTTCACGAAAAAGTGATTTCTCTAATGAACGGAACAAGGTTTGCTTTACTTTAACCAATCAAACCATCCTTTAAGTAAAAGATGCTTTTTAATTTTTTAAATATGATTTTCAAGAGTATATCAGTAGGCTGTTGAAGCCAATATCTATAGTGCTTTAAATGGAAATATATATATTTTTATTAAATTATATTCACAAGATCTGTAAGATAATCAGGTAGTCATTTTAACTATGCAAGTATCTTAATGGACAATCTCAATGTAATGCACTTTTAATTCTTTAAGAATGCTTTATTTCTTATTTACTGGAAATTCATGGAATTTTTTAAGCAATATTTTAATCTTTTACATTTGTGGTGTCTAGCAAAACATTGGATAAATAAATACTGAAAGACCCAATTGTGACCATGTTAATGTACTTTATATGTCATAGTGGAAGTGTCTTAAACTGGTGCTAAATTTTAACTTGAATGAAATCCACACAAGTCTATGCAACTCAAAGAGATAGAGCTTTATTTGTATTTGTGATCGATTCTGTGAAACACCACTTGCTTCTGCATTCATTGTGCTTTTGCTTGAAAAACAAAAATGGAAACTTTACAACTTTATTACTTAATCTCCTATTTATAACACTAGCCATTTCTTTTTTTGCACTTTCATATTTGTTTTACTTGTCTGTACTATCCTTGCAAATTCATGTGAAAATTACTTGAATAAAAAATTTTCAAGTGTGTAATGCCTGATGAGTAATTCTATATATAAATATTTAAGTCTAATATGTTGTTCGCATATTGTTTACCCCTTAAGGACACATGACGGAAATATTCCGTCATGATTCCTTCTTATTTCTGAAGTTTTGTCCTTAAGGAGTTAAAGGTGTTTCAAAGGGACAGGTGTTTCAAGCACCGCAATTACTTCAGGCCTCTGCAGCATTGTAAATGAAAACAGTACCATTTTTGAGAACAAGTCCTGATTAAATTTTATAGTACAAATGCCTATTAATGGCTCTTAGACTAAACATATTGACACCAGACACGGTGTATGTAGAATACTTCTCACAGAGAAGCATTAGATTGGTAGATTAAGAAGAATGTGTAGCTATTGTCCTCAATACTTCCCTTTAAGAAGACTATCTCATTCAACAGCTTTTGTTTTGTATTAGAAACAGTAAAAGCAGGTAAGTATGATGAATTGTCATAGGAATTGTGGAAACTTGAATTCCACATGTACATGCACGACTCAACCAACGACAACACAGAGTCACGCTGGCCATGGATGCACATTCTACATGCTCAAGAAATTTACATCTGCAGCGCAAGTAGAGTCGCTTAGACACCATTTGCCACCCTGCTCCAGCACTGTACAAACCAAACCACGAATAAAATCTGTATCAAAATCAATGACATCCATCTGAGCACCGCTTAGCAGCAGAGGGAGACACTAAAAGATTTTGCATCCATCTCTATCAGCAGGTGAAACAATAATTGACTTTTGACATCTTTTTTTTTGCAGTGCTGTGTTGGTTGAAAGGCAAAAAGAAAACTGCCCTGAGGTAGGAAGTGTTTGAATGACAGAAATACATTCCATGCTGGTTTGCTTGAAGCGTGGGTTGGTGAACACTGTAGGGGAGATGATTATAAGATCTTGGGATGAAATGGAAGTGATTCTATTTACTGTGCTTTACTAGATGGTCTAAGAAATAAGGGTATGGAGACAAAAAATAAATATCCCTGGATAAAAATATTTACTCTTTACACGGATATATATATATATAGAAATTCTCTCAATATACTGGAGTAAACTACTTAATGTGATATATATATACAGATATAATTACATTTATTCAAGCACCTTTCAAAATCAAGTTTATTATCAAAATTTATAGACTTCCATCTGTTTGCAATGAACAAATCCTAACCCTCGGTGACCACAAAAGACCTGCAACAAGACTTGGTGGCAACGGGCACTGAGATTTCAGTAAGCACAGTAAGACGTGTATGGAACGCAGAAGGTTTCCATACCAGAACTCCAAGATGTACACCACTACTGACCCAAAAGCACAAAAAGGTAGCTACAATATGCTCAAAATGATATAAAGTAGGCCACAGAAGTTTGGGGAGTCTGTTCTGCAGAGTGTTTAAACTAAACTGAAATCTTTTGTCCCAATGGATCAGCAGTATGTCTGAAGAAAGAAGAATGATGCATACACTGAAACGAACACTCTGCCTACAGTTAAGCATAGTGGTGGCTTGGTGATGCTGTGGGGTTGCTTTGCATCCTCTGGCACTGGAAACCTGCAACGTGTGGAAGGCCAGATGGATACATTTAAGTATCAGGAAGTCCTAGGAGAAAACATCATGCCATCTTTGAGGAAGCTGAAGCTTTGGCGTCATTGGACCTTCCAACACGACAATGATCCCAAGCATACCTCAAATTCCACCAATACCTGGTTACAGAAGTAGTCCTTGAAAATTCTACAGTGGCTATCACAGTCACCTGACTTGAATCCCAAAGAAAATCTCTGGTGGAATTTGAAGAAGGCAGTTGCAGCACACAAACCCAACTCCATTATTGAACTGGAGGCCATTGCTCATGAGCAATGGGCTAAGATTCCACAAGAACGCTGCCAGAAGCTGGTGTCTGGATATGCATCACGTTTGCAGCAGGACATAACTGCAAAATTAGCTCTGCTAAGTACTAAAGATGCTTGCCATGAAGGGGTTGAATGATTTTGAGACTGGAGAAGTCATTATAAGTTGAATTTTGGGAAACCTCTTGAAGCATTTGTTGTGTTAAGCTATTTCTATTGATTTTGTTAGATTTGTTCATTTCAAAGAGCTGAAAGTCTGTAAATTATGACACTAAATCTGATTTTAAATGGGGGTTGAATAATTCTGATTACAATTGTATGTGAGTGAAGGTCTGTATGTATGTAAACATATATGTATATATGTGTAAAGGTCTGTGTGTATAATATATACATATAAGATAAGATGCCAAAATACCAGAGTATTGCAGTATGCAATGAAACCTTTTTTTTATTTGACTAACATAATATTTCAAAGACAAGCTTTCAAGAGCTTTCCTCTCTTCCTCAGGTCTGAATGAAGATAGGAAAACTCTTGAAAGCTTGTATTTGAAATATGTTAGTTTAATAAAAAATGTATCATTCTCTGGTATTTTGGCATCATGTCTACTGGACTAATACAGCTAATCCAATCTGTATATATATATATTTGTGGACGGTAACATAGTAACATATAAGCCGTGCAATAACATTATTAATGGAACAAGTCGGTAAGGGTAAGGCTGTAATAAAATAGGTCCCCCCAGGAAGAATGAATTTAAAGGAGAAGGGTGAGACGAACTAAACGGCAAGGCAAAGATAAGCAGGGGGTGTGTTTTTTTTTGGAAAGCTAAACTCCCCCAATAAATACAAGCCTTTGGCCTATATATATATATATATATATATATATATATATATATATATATACACATATATATATACACACACACACAGTGGTGTATCCTGGTTTTGTGCTGCCCTAGGCAGGACAAAACTCAGGCAACCCCCCCACGCCACCCCCAACCAACCCTTCCCACCCGCCCCACCTTCTAAATACACACACACACATATATACACAGTCAGACACAAACACAAACACACACACACACACACACAATCACTCACATTAACACTTTTTTTTTTTAATTTAATCTCCCCCCAGCCTCCTTACCTTTGGGAATGCTGGGGGGTTCCTCTTTCTCCCTGGTGGTCCAGGGGCGGTCGGGCTGATGGGCTGGCGAGGGAGCTGAGCAGTCAGCTCAGAGGAAGTGCTCCCTCGCCAGCCGCCCGCCCGCCCGCCCAGCCCAGCACCCAGCATGTCAGTTAGCTGCGAGGCAACTAGGCATTTGCCCTGGGCATTTGGGGGGCGGCGTTTTTTTGAGGCCCCCTGAAAAATGCCGCCCAAGGCAAATGCCTTGTTTGCCTCGCGGCTAATACGTCCCTGTATACACATACCCACACACAACAAAAAATACTTTGCTCATTGGTAGAAAATGTCATAAACGTGCACATAGTTTCTAATGCATGGCTAGTGCTAGTTCACATGGAACAGTGGGTGGGTGAGAGATGGGCAAGAGGGAAGGTGCAGAGGCTGAAGTAACTGTTTATTGGGGTTGACAACATGTCATCAACACAATAAATACTCCATTGGTAGTACTGAAAAAAAAAATAATATAAATAAATTAATTTAAAAACCTCTAAAATCCTATCATATATGCAAACCGATATATAAATTCACAGGAGTGCGCTTAAAACCAGAATACCTATAATAATAATTTTTTTTTTTTTTTAAAAGCATTATATAATCCTAATAATATTAACCAGTCCTTAGAAGGTAAAACTAATCAATCATAAAATCCTCAAATGGATTTCCTAGGACCCTAATTTATCAATAAATATAGCCCCCAATAGTATAAACTCTTCCTAGGATGTACATCTATCATCGACACACCATGTCAATAGAGATGCCAAGGGCAGTACTCATTAAATCTATCGCATCTCAGGGTGCATCAGTGCCAAGCTAACACATTTTCTCAGCATTAGCAGAGTGTAAGGAAATTCTTGCAAATGCTTGGGAATCCTAGCGTGAGTATGCACAATATTGAGATTGCATTGCAATTTTGTGATCCATCTTCCGGTGTACACAAGAAGTAGATTAGGATGGAATTTGTTAATACATTGCATTGTATTACATTCAAGTTTATTTGGGAGCAGTTCATCTAAATCTAAACATTGATAAATCTTTCGATTAGTGTCTGGATTTTGATCTTCATACTTATGCCACTCCAGACCGGGCCATTTTGATTTTAGTGAGTAAGATTGTGAAAGTCCATGGAGTGCATACTCTGTTTATGTTCTGTATATTTCTATAGATGGACCTCCGTGTAATTCCAATGTCATTGTAATTCTAATGTTGGCTTTTTTTATTTTTTATATCCCCAAAACAGATAATTTCAGTTTTTTTCCCCAACTGAACCTACAACTCTAAAACCCTAATAATAAAACATTCATATTTAAGGGAAGATAAAAAAAAAAAGACCTCCTCTGCAAATGCTGAAATCTCATTTTTACTTTTACATAAATAGCCTCACCTTGTTAGAAGTAGGGACTAACATCAAAACCTCAGGAAGTACTTTGAAGGTAACGCAAGGTAAATGAAGACTTCCTAACTAAATATTTTCATGTTATTAATACAAATTTGTTTTTACTTTTTTGCTCATTTTCCCTTAGGAGTAGAAAGATTCTAATTTTGCCAAATGTAGAACTATTCACGCTTATATATTTTTCGTTTGCTAATGAGAAATTTGCTATAAGGCGATTTATAGGATCCCAGTGAATGAATAAACTGAAGTGAATGGAGACCATTCAGCATCACTGTCCCAGAGGACAATTTATAACTTCGTATTCCTAAAGGTCAAGAGATAGAGAGAATTCTCTCTTTCTGATACAGTCTGGGGAGAGTGCATGAGTGCTTTTTGCTGACTGCAGACAATAGAGCAGCAGCCATCTGATTTGGGTGACAATGTGGGGACTATCAAGTGACATTAGTTGTCACAGCTAAATTGCCCAATATATTTATTTGTGAAATATTTATTTGCGGTAACATAAATTAAACATACTGATTTACTAGCAGACAAAATAAAGAATAGTGTTTGCTATATCACAACAGTTTCTGCCACTTACAGATGGTTATAATACATACATGAAGAATACAGTGATCTGGATATTTAGTTATGCTGATTATGCCCTGTGTAGTGGAATTTAAAACGAGAAAAAAAAAAGAAATAAAAGAAAGCTGAGCAGTTTCACAGTTTAATTACAGTTTGCCAGTCAACATTCGTTCCCTTTTCTACGTGGCAATTTTAGTAACATAGTTTCCAGTGCAGCAATCGCATTCTTTTCAGTCATTCATTGTTGTCAACTTTCCCAGGGCACAGCTACTAACGGTATACATGCAGCACATGAACTATTCTAGCTTAAATATTTTTCTTTAACTTAACGTCATGACCGGCTCACCTCAAGCAATACCCACTTAAGCATGGAATATAGCATTACAATATATATATATATATATATATATATATAAACTCATTTAATTGCTTAATGATAATTTGAATACTTACCCTTTCCTAGCATCACTCTGAATTCAAGGGCGTTACCTGCCCCGATCCACCTGTATAGATTAATTGATCTGCTCATTTGCTAAACTTAGCTCATCAGCTAAACTTCAAAAGGAAAAGAACAATCTGCATTAAAATTAGGCAAGCAAAACACATTTAACAAGAGTATGTTGCTATAGTTTTATTTCCATAAGAACCATAAAGAACATTTGTTTTATTTCCATTCAGACATGTTAATTTTCACAAATGAAAATACTTAAAGGACCACTCTAGGCACCCAGACCACTTCAGCTTAATGAAGTGGTCTGGGTGCCAGGTCCTTCTAAGGTTAACCCATTTTTTTTATAAACATAGCAGTTTCAGAGAAACTGCTATGTTTATGAATGGGTTAAGCCTTCCCCCTAATCCTCTAGTGGCTGTCTCATTGACAGCCACTAGAGGCGCTTGCATGCTTCTCACTGTGATTTTTTTTGTAAATGCTTTCCTATGCGACGGGCCGAATGCGCGCACAGCTAGCCGACGGGGAGTAACGGAGGAGGAGAGCTCCCCGCCCAGCGCTGGAAAAAGGTAAGTTTTAACCCCTTTCCCCTTTCCAGTGCCGGGCGGGAGGGGGACCCTGAGGGTGGGGGCACCCTCAGGGCACTATAGTGCCAGGAAAACGAGTATGTTTTCCTGGCACTATAGTGGTCCTTTAAGAAGGTGACCCAATAACAAAATTTGCTAGGTTTACTATTTTCATTTAGGTATATTTTATTGTCACAACAAGAGGACATAGTCTTAGAGGGGCAAAGGTTTAAAAATAATATCAGGAAGTATTACTTAACTGAGAGGGTAGTGGATGCATGGAATAGCCTTCCAGCTGAAGTGGTAGAGGTTAACACAGTAAAGGAGTTTAAGCATAAATGGGATAGTCATAAGTCTATCCTACCTATAAGATAAGGCCAGGGACTAATGAAAGTATTTAGAAAATTGGGCAGATTAGATGGGCCGAATGGTTCTTATCTGCCGTCACATTCTATGTTTCTATGTCACCTGCTTAATGAGCTCAAAGTGACCAATAAAGAATAAAACAGACTTGTTAATTTTCTCCTTCTCTTAGGACTTTTTTTTTTTTTTGCTCTATTTTAGGTCTCCTTCACCCTGTTACTCTTCCAATCCATTGCCCTATTTATGTCTTTCCGTCTGCCCCTCTTGTGGTCACCTGTCACTGCTGCAGTCCACGGCTTTATATCTTTTCCTCTGTGTTTCTTGTGGTCCCCTGACATTAGCTTAATATATTTCCCACTCTTGTGTGTGCAGAGTACATATACATTCTCTGGTACATATATTTCTCTTTCTGGCATAATAAAAAAAAATGGCAACAAAGAAAAAAAATGAAACGACCACTGTTCAAAAGTCTGTATACCCTTAGTTCTTAATACTGTGCATTGCACCCTTTGGCATCAATGACAGCGAACAGTCTTTTGTAATAGTTGTCTATGAGGCCCCTAATTCTTGCAAGTGTTATAGCTGCCCATTCGACTTGGCAAAATGCCTCCAGGTCATGCAAAGTCTTTGGTCGTCTTGCATAAACTGCACGTGGGAGATCTCCCCTAGACTGGCTCGATGATATTAAGGTCAGGAGACTGTGATTGCCACTCCTGAACCTTCACCGTTTTCTGCTGTAACCACTGGAGGGTCAACTTGGTCTTGTGCTTAGGGTCATTGTCATGCTGGCAAGTCCAAAAGTGTCCCCTGCACAGCTTTCATGCAGAAAAATGCAAATTGTCTACCAGTATTTTCTGATAACATGCTGCATTCATCTTGCCATCAATTGTCACAATACTCCCTGTGTCTTTAGAGCTCAGACACCCCAAAACATCAGTGAGCTACTACCATGCTTCTCAGAAGGGATGGTATTACACTATCCTTCAATAAAATAAACATTTTTTGCATGATCAGTCATATTTTCAAAATCAATGCCAAAAGTTCACAATTTCTGCCAGGGTATGCAAACCTTTGAGCACAACTGTATAAACAGACTTTTTATTTGCATATGTTAACTGGGAACATCGAATAGCAGCAGAGTCCAACTCAGGCTGTCCTATTTGTTTTTTTATTTATCCACACTATCTTGACTGATGGTTTAAAAAGTGTGTGTATGTATGTATATATATATATTTACACACATACACAAATATTAAAAAAAAAAAAAAACCTCTTAAGGGTTAATAGGTATGTAGGGGTTTAGAAATATACCCCTCTGTCTCATTAGAATTTTGTTTTGCCTGAAGCTGAAGGAAGTAATTTGAATTGTCAGTGTAGGACCCACCTAAGAGGTTTTTCTTGACGTGGTGGGCTTACTCCTAATGGCCAGTGGAGTAAAACAAAATACCTACATGCATTGGTATTTGGGGTAGTTCTTTGGTTTTTATGGTATGTATTGGGGCTGATGTGTATTATGGTCAATGCTGCCAGCCAGGAGTAGTGGAAGTCTGAGTGCAGGACTTATTTTTGTGTAAAATGTAAGATGCTAAAACATTAGTCACAAGTATCCAGGAGCCTACTGTTAATACAGATAGTAGCAAAAATGGAATTAGTTAAAAATGACACAATGTTGCATTTAAATAGATGACTGTAAAAATTCACACAAAATGAAAGTATGTTTAAGAATAATTCTGCAGATATTATGTAGTGTGAGTGTTTTAATTCAAGAAAATAGAGTATCCCAAGATGACTAATAACTAGTTGATCGGTATACTAGTTAAAAAATAGTGAAAAATAAAAAGATAATCTGATAACAGATGATAAAAATCTTTCAATAATACTGTTTACCATTAAGCAAGTAATATTCTCGCTAGGAACAGATATACCAGCACTGTCCACCAAATACTGTATAGTATAAAAATGGTTAAACAACTGAGAGGATAAAAAAGTCCAATTTATTCAAAATACTTAAAAATGGTTAAAAAAAAATATTAATCACATAAGATCCACAGTCACAATACTGGTCTATTACAGGAAAAAAATTGCGAAGAAACCTTAACTCGGGCACTGCTGTCATCCAAATTCTGATCGCCGGTGAGGACGGCGTGCGTACCACCGTGCGTTCCACCTCGAGCCTCACTTCGGGGGAACAGCACTGCTCGTCTAGTGATGTTAACCGAGTGCCTCAAGTCTTTGGTGATGTAAAAGTCGCTTCGCTGATACCTTGACCAGCTGTGGTTGAGTATTTTTGTGTATTTGCTTTCGAATCACACAGCCATGTTACAATGTGGCCGCCCAGCCCATTAAGGGCTAATAAGTATGTAGGGGTTTAGAAAAATACCCCTCTCTGTCTCATACATGTTCTACAGTTGTTATCCCAAGTACATAACCTCCCCTAAAGATATGCCACTTACTTTCAGTGTTTAATTAATTTAAATCAGATTTTTTCTTTACTTTTAGTTAAGTTTTCTGGCCAAAGCCAAGACATAAATTTCAGGAATTGAATTTCCAATGCAGAATCAAGTTTGAGATGTAACATACAAAATTGTAATAATATTACTCATCACATTATATATAAATATATAAAATTCGTCCTCCTCTAAAATCAAATTACATAACATACTTTTCAAACATTTCCACGATTGGAGTTTCATTTTAAAATGAAACCTTTATCTCCTGGTGTCCCAACACAATATTATTCTAACAGGTATGTGTTGAGACACACCTGGAATATCTGTATTATTTTGATGTTTCAATGGGTGCATACTGATTCTTATCTATATCGAAACAAATCTTAAAATGCTAACGCAATGCAAACAGAGGACACAATGGTTTTTATTAGATCTTGGAATGAGCATATGCTTGTATAGGATATTTAACATAAATATGCTGCACAGTGACCTCAACATATAAAACTAAACTAATCATCAAATATGATCTTTTTTCCTTGGAATGCCCTAATTTGAGACTGCTGTTCTTTGCGCCTACGACTGGCTTCCCAGGAAGGGTGTAGCGATTGTTGTGATTCTTGAGGTTTACTCTTGGGCTTCATAGCTGGATCTCTGCTAGGTTGTGATTTCCTTATTAGTTTGTTTGATTGAGGAACAACTGACAAGACAATAAATAAAGTTAGTTATGTATTTAAAGTAAAACTTCAAGAACAAAAACCATGTCAGCTTATTGTAGTTGTTACTTTGCGACAAGACTAAGTGCAATCCCTTTGGGGTTTGTCAATCTTTTTAATAATTCGTTGCACAAAAAACTAAACAAAACAGAGAACCCAAAACCAAATATAAATGTTAATTTGGTACCACAGAAAGGGCTAACGATTATTTGTCAAAGCAAAACCCTGCGCAGATGTATAAACATTATTTGTGATTAATAATTTGAAATTAAAATGTTCCCATTCTCATGTCCCCATGCAGAGAGGCTGTACTGGTTATGATGCTTAACATCCCAGTCAACAAATTATGTTCAAACTGGGCCAAAATTGATATTGCTACTGCAGAATGTGAACTACCGCTTTAGTAATACCTCTGCAGACTGGAAGGACTACATGTGCCTTGAAAGACCCATGTGGGGTATTTCAAACAGTGTGTCATCATTGAGCCATTTGTTTTCACCATTTTCAGTCAAACTTTGTGGTATTCATTAATGTCCTGTCCATTGTGATTGTTTACTTTTTTTAACGTTAAAAAAAAATGAAAATTGTTGCATTTTAGGGTATTAGCATCTAACAAATTGTACGCCATAAATCTAAACCATTTGCAAAAGAAGATACCCTGGTATATCTCACATGATGTTATGAGTTTTATAGTATGGCCATATTTGTAGCTGTAATGGTATGTGGTACCAGTGTTAATAGGGAATATATGTACCGTATTTAACTATGGTTAGAGAACATCCGCTTTAAAGAGGTTATATATATTGTCAACTACCATCACAAGGAAAAGCCTGGTTTAAAATAAATGGCACTTACAGTACAAAGCATCTCAAGGACAGGAAATTCCATATCTAAATCACTCCCTAATTTTTAAATACTTTAACCAGAACCCAAACACTAACTCTTAACCTAACTTTGCTGGTAAAAGGTTTCCATCAGATGTCACTGTTGCCATCAGACAAGGGATTTCTCTAGTGTACCATGATAGAGTTTTACTTCCTTCTCACCTGCTAAGTTATAGCGTGACTGTCACAATGTAATTTAAAGCGCTCTTAAAGCTGTTCACACACAGATAAGCTTTGGGCAGAGTGCATAGCCCAGCACATATCATCTGCTAAGTGCAGGACATCGACGGTGGAATAAATCCCCCAAGTAGAGGAAAGAGGTTAAACTAAAGTGTATGTTTTTGTTATAAATTCGATGTAAACTTCTTAATCTATTTTACAACTTTAACTTATAGAGTAGAAAAGTACTATAATGCTATAAGGCATCATTCGAAACAGTGTCATATGTCTTTTACATTCAAGGAAAACAAACACTACTTACTTGTTTTTCTATCCTTTGCAGGTGGAACATTTGTCACCCTGAAAATTATAAGAATAAAATTGTAAGCTGCTTTCAATAAAATAGAAAGAAAGAAAAGATAATTTCAGTTTGTACCTCAACATTTGGCAGATTCTCATATTAGACACACATTACAATTAAATCTGATAGTATATCACTAAGAATAGCTTATGACTGACAATCATGATGCGTATGTAAGGACCAAAGTATATAGACATATGAAGTGGACTAGTTCTATATCTAGAAGCTACGCTCAACATTGTTACAAACCTGCAGAAACTAAAGCATGCTGCCTCTGCTGATCATAATGTGATGGGTGGTGGGCAGCTAGCAAAGCCCAGAAACAATCATAATTGGTGGTGGTGTGGAATGGGCATGCAGGGAGACCTTGTCAGAGTCTGTTCAGAACCTTGGGGTCTTTCTTGCATTGCTGGCAGCCTAGAATCATTACGGCATGCAATTAAATGGCTACATGCAGTGCTCACTTTGGGAACTGCATACAGGTCATTGGTCAGTCTCTAAATGTGGCCCTAGCTGACAGAAAGGAGCCCCATCTGGAGGGGATTTGACTTCTTGGTGTGAGCAGGTCTTTAACTACGCTCACAGCAAACTTTCAAGAAGAGCATACAGCACATCTTTCAGTCTGGGGCCACGAAAAATTAGGGAATCTTGTGGTGTGAGCAGGTATTTAACCCTATTCTTATTACATTGGAGTCGATGGGGACTCACTTTGAGTGCTGCATACAACTCCACTGTCAGTCTGGGGCCCCAGCAGAGAGGAGGCCCAGGTATATAATGATATCTGTCACTAGGATGTGTCAATAATTCCTAATGGCTTTAGCACCCTGTATAGTTAGGACGCAATAACAGGTTCTAACATCATAGTTAAAACTATTATTTTGCTTTTTTTTTTTTAGCTATGTTACTTTTGTATTACACTAAAGAGAATGTGCCAATTCCTGAATGGAGTGATAAAGAAAAAAAAAAATCCTGGGTACAGGTCTCAAATCCATGCAGATTTAATGAATGACTAGCGGATCCTCATCCATTAAATCTGCCTGGATTTCAGACTTGGACCTGGACTTTTTTTTTTCCTTTTCTTTATCATCACTTTTTGGAGTTTGGTCATCTCGGTACAGGGGACATGGTCACTATTTTAAAACATGTGCTTACCCACCTCTTTTGTAATTGCAGCCTAGATTGTCCATTGTTACATTGTTAAATGGAATGCATGATATAAATACTAACCTTTTCTTGAAGGAAGTCTTCTGTTTGGTGTCTGATAATGATTTGCAGAAGAGTGATTGTATTTTTACAGTTTTAGGGGCAGTAATCCCGTGCTTCATATCTGAATCTTTTGTAGCAGGTTTTGATGAAGGTTTCTTTTTTTCTGTTCCCTCTGAGCATATTTTATCTGACTTCTTTCTCTTTGTTTGTCGTACTTTGCCAATAAAAAAGTCATCTTCACTGTCACTATCGCTGTCTTCAAAACCCGAGGAATGCTTGCAAAACCTTTCTTCTGTACTATCATCAAAATATTCTTTGTCTGAGTCATCAATATCACTAGAATCCCTGCTAGAACTCTGTGCCAAAACTTTCTTGTCAGATATGCTTTTTACTGCTTCAGGTATCCTTTCAACTGCTTCAGACTTGACTTCTGTGTTAGTTTGTATTGTCTGTACTGTCATATTCTCTTGAGCTGGTAGACTTTCTGAATTCTCTTGAGCTGGTGAACTTTCTGAATTATTTAATGCATTTTCAGTAGTGTAGTCAGGTTCTGCAAATATTCTTTTGCACTCTTGTTCATTTAAGGTATCGGTCTTTGTTTCTTCTTGCTTTGCGTCTACTTTCTTTGCGTCTACTCGCTTTGTTTCTACTTGCTTTGCGTCTACTTGCTTTGTTTCTGCTTGCTTTGCGTCTACTTGCTTTGTTTCTGCTTGCTTTGCGTCTACTCGCTTTGTTTCTTCTGCTTTTCTTTTTGGTTTTGCTTTTCCTTGGTTACTTTTTACTTCTACATTAGAGCCCTTGTTCTGGTCAGATTCAGGCAGGTTGTGATCTTGTTTTTTTCCAGTTTCCCCTTCTGGAAGAAGCCGCCTTGCATCTTTAAAAGCCTTTATAGCCTCTAATAAAACAAATGAAAATAGACAATCTGTATTGTAAATAAATAAAAATCAGACAATGCTCAAGAAAACAATAGGTAATATCTCATCTTGTATAGTCTAATGCTCCAATGGGCATTAAACTTGTGCACGGGCTGATAATATGGTTCGTCCAAATAGCTTTTGAGTAAAAAAAACAAAACCAAAAAAACCTACTGGGCCAAACCGAATTAGTTCCATGCCTTCGTTTGATGTATCTGTATTTCGATTGCGTGATTTGGACAACCGATCATTCAGTTTGTTGAAGGTCAAATAAAACAAATAAAAGCCTATGAAGATCAATATAACCCTCATATTGTTATAAAGGAGGTTTAAACCTCCCTCATACACCCTGACAGCCAATCAGAGTGCTGTAACTGAAATCCCATATGTGGAAAATAACCCTTTTTAGGGCTTGTTCCAGGCTGGCTAATGCTCCTGGAGGGGTGTTTTCATAGTGAAAAGCTTCACATACAGACTGCATGCACCATAACGACTTCAGATCACTGAAGTGGTCATGGTGTTTAGAGTAAAACCATTTAACCTGAAATTGTTTTGGTAATTAAAGTGACCCTTTAACTAGGAAAGCTAAACAAACATACCTAAAAAATATAATATCAGTTATCATATACAGAACATATAAACGGTTCATGGTATCCATTAACCAAATTTCCTTATATGTATTATTTTATGTAAATAATAATGAAGTGAAAATCTAAATGTACCAATATATCCAAAAATACTTTTTAGGCACTAAAATATTACATGATTATGGTGTAGATGTTATAGATACATCATTTACCTCTTCTGCTTTCCAGTACAAGAAAACACATACTGTTTTGATAACGTACTGTGCTACTTATTTAATTACATAACATTGTGGACCATGCTTAAAATAATGCAGATAACTAGAAACCCAGTTAAAGATTTCTTGGAAAAAAACATTATTTGGTTCTCTGTAAAATCAGTAAACCACTGGAGAAGAAACATGTATCTATTAATGTAATACAAAACAGAAATGTATATTTTAAGGTAAAATGACAGTAAGACTGTAAACTTAGAAGGCAAAGTATTGAATGGAGACTTTAAAAGCAGGAGCTAACTATGTGTAGAAAATTCCCAGTGGAGATCAGTACGTGACTGGAAAGTTGTGCAAAGATTATGGCAGTCAGAAAACAAAACCATTAAACCAAAGAAAACATTAGGGATGTGAAAAAAGAACAGATGTGGATGGTCATATGTTACTTAAAATGCATCACCCAAAATTAACTATATTTTACAGGGTATAATCATCCACAATGCTACACTTGGAAGATTAAACAGGAATATCTGATGGGCAAACCAGCTGGAATAGATGTTTTTTTTTATGGCATAATTTGTAGGATATTTTGGATTCAAGTGCTAGAAGAATAAAAAGGAATAAAAAATGTTACCCACGGATTCTTTTCTTTTAAAATATCATTATGCTATTGCATTTAACTATGGACTTGGCTCAGGGCCGGCGCATCCATAAGGGGCGCACTTGCTCTGGGGGCACAAAATTCCAATGACCAACAGAAGGGAAGCGCTCCCTCCTACCAGGCCATGTTATGGACCCGCCAGGGTGCGACTGTGGTAGAATCAGAGGCGGCGAGGGAGCGCTGTTTGCTGATGCCGCAGGAGTTGGAATATGAGGTCATATTCCGGCTCCCGGCATCAGTAGACAGCCCGCGAGGGAGCAGAGCAGGGAGATCGGAGCTCCCTCGCCACCTCTTATTCTACCACAGCCCCATGCCTCACTGCCAGCCCCACTGGACCACCAACGACAGACCAACGCCAGCTCTCCAGGTAGGGAAGCTGGGTGGAATATTTTTAATTATAAAAATATTAATAATTAGTGAGTGTATGTCTGTGCATCTGTCAAATCAGTGAGAGTATGTTTGTCATTGAGTCTGTGTGTGACTATCAGTGTGTGTCTGGCAAGGAGTGTCTGTCAGTGTGCGTGTCTGTCAATGAATGAGTGTGTGTCAGATCAATGACGTCTGTGTGTTTGTCATTGAGTGTGTGTGTGAGACTGTCAGTGTGTATCTGCCAGTCTGTGTCTGTTAGGGAATATGTGTATGTCACATCAGTGAGTCTGTGTCTGTCAGGGATGTCTGTGTGTTTGTCATTGAGAGTGTGTGACTGTCAGTGTGTATACACCACTGAGTGTAGAGTGGCCGAGCGGAGCAGACCGCGGTACAGGAGCTTCTGTTTCCTGTACCCGGCTGGACTGACAGGAAGTTCTCACCTTTTAAAGCTGCAATTTTATGCTTCAGTAATGGGTGTGTTGCTAGCCTGGCAATGGCTCGTGTTTCAGCAGTGCTGTTTGGCTGACAAAGAAAGAGAAATACATTGTTAAAAGGTAAAATAAATCTGCACAGTTACAGGTTATGATTGCAATGTTGGGAAAATATTGGACCAAAAAATGAAAGTATGGGCTATAGTATAGAGTAGACTATTATTTATATGAATTCTCTCGTTGGCTGCTATGTTTTCTTAGTAAAAACCAAAGAAAAGAAAAAAAGTTACCTGCGCTCTCTCCTTAATCCCTATGTATATTTAGACAAATGGAGGTAATTTAGTTGCTCCAATGGCCATTGGAGGGAATGCCCGCCTGCCAACGTCAAGGCAGACACCCCCCCCTAGAGCGGGTCCTACACGGACTCTTCAGCCTGCTTCCTTGAGCTTCTGGCAAAGATATTTCTGATGAGACAGAGAGTGGTATTTTTTATATACATCCCTATTTTTAACCCCTTAATAGGGAACACATGGAATGGGCATTGTAACAAGGCTGTGTGATACAAAGTAAATACAAATACAAAAAGAGAAGTCCTGCGCTCACTCCCATCACTCCTGGGCCAGCAGCAATGACTACAGTACACATCAGCCCCAATATATAGTAAAAACCAAAGAAAAGAAAAAGTTACCTGCACTCTTATATATAATACCCCTCTCTGTCTCATCAGAGATATCTTTGCCAGAAGCTCAAGGAAGCAGGCTGAAGAGTCAGTGTAGGACCCGCTCTAGGGGGGGGTCTGCCTTGACGTTGGCAGGCGGGCATTCCCGCCAATGGCCATTGGAGCAACTAAATGAAAAAAAGTTACCTGCGCTCTCTCCTTAATCCCTATGTATATTTAGACAAATGGAGGTCATTTAGTTGCTCCAATGGCCATTAGAGGGAATGCCCGCCTGCCAACGCCAAGGTACACCCCCCTAGAGCGGGTCCTACACTGACTCTTCAGCCTGCTTCCTTGAGCTTCTGGCAAAGATATCTCTTTGCAGTGTATTAGATTAAGGGGAAGTGTGTTACATTGAGGGAGAGCAGTGTATTAAATTGGGGGTGGGAAGGGACAGTGTATTAAATTGGGAGGAGGGTGGGCAGTGTAGTAAAGTAGAGTGGTGGGAGTGGGTGCATTATGCATTAAATATTATGTAGCAATATATAGCATTGGTTATCAATAAGTGTAGTTAAAATATTTCAAAATTATTTTTTAAACAGCGTGATTTTAATCAGCTTCCGCCAGTTCCTTCTGTTCCTTCTGTTAGTAGAAAATTCCCAAAATGGAAAATTCACCAGTTTAATCCTTTTCATAGACTGTTCAGTGTGACAAACACATTGTGTGACAAAATCAGCATACAAACATTTAAACAAGGGTTACCCTCTACTCTGAATAAAGGTTCAAGTCACACAAGTTGAAACATTAATACCCAAGTTTATTATGTCACAATGTTCCCCTTCCTGTAATAATTTTATTTTCACTAAATACTTTTCTATTTAGTTAAGCTTGGTAATAGGAAAATACTTTCTTCTCGGACAATGCCACCCCTATGTTCGATTCCAAAAACACAAATGATGCTTTTATGTTGCAGTCCAGCCTCCTGCTTGCCCTGCCTTAGAAATCTATTCCACAAATTTCTCCATCTCTGTAAATAAACATTAAGGAATGCCTTCCAACTTTGCTGCCCAATAACAGGATTTTGTGCTATGCTTGAGTACATTGATACATTATAAAAATAAACAATTTTTGATCAACACAGTGGTAATGGAATACTGAAAATAACATGTCATGGCATGTAAAGGTAATATTAAGAGGGGAGCTTTTGGTTAATGAACCCATAGAATAACTGAGAAAACCCCTCTTCTGTCTCATATGTATGCATATCCATGTATATTGCATATATTCATTGCTTCCTTATTGGGGAGACAATAATCGATAAAAGAGATGCAGTACACAAATTACACAAGCAGGATGGACTTCATTTGTACAGTATCCTACTGAGAGGCATGATAAGGTCATATCATGACTGAATGCCATATTTCTTTTACATAAAAAAAATTTTATATATATATATCAATATCAAAAATACAAGTAGCTCCTGCACTCACGCTCCAATGTCCCTTAATGGCCGGGTGCCAACCAAAGACAGCTTCAATATCCAAAAAATCCAAGAGTATGGCTGCACTCACGGTTTAACGGTTTAAAAGTCCAAAGTTTAATGAAAAAACGGTTTAAAACATCAAGTGATCACTTGATGTTTTAAACCGTTTTTTTCATTAAACTTTGGACTTTTAAACCGTGAGTGCAGCCACTCTCTTGGATTTATATATATATGTGCGCACTGCTCAAAAAAATAAAGGGAACGCTTAAACAACACAATGTAACTCCAAGTCAATCACACTTCTGTGAAATCAACTGTCCCCTTAGGAAGCAACACTGAGTGACAATCAATTTCACATGCTGTTGTGCAAATGGGATAGACCACAGGTGGAAATTCTAGGCAATTAGCAAGACGCCCCCAAAAAAGGAGTGGTTCTGCAGGTGGTGACCACAGACCACTTCTCAGTTCCTATGCTTCCTGGCTGATGTTTTGGTCACTTTTGAATGCTGGCAGTGCTTTCACTCTAGTGGTAGCATGAGACGGAGTCTACAACCCACAAAAGTGGCTCAGGTAGTGCAGCTCATCCAGGATGGCACATCAAAGTGAGCTGTGGCAACAAGGTTTGCTGTGTCATGTCTAGAGCATGGAGCCGCTACCAGGAGACAGGCCAGTACATCAGAAGACGTGGAGGAGGCCGTAGGAGGGCAACAACCCAGAAGCAGGACTGCTACCTCCGCCTTTGTGCAAGGAGGAACAGGAGGAGAACTGCCAGAGCCCTGCAAAATGACCTCCAGGCCAGAAATGTGGAAGTGTCTGCTCAAACGGTCAGAAACAGACTCCATGAGGGTGGTATGAGGGCCTGACGTCCACAGTTGGGGGTTGTGCTTACAGCCCAACACCGTGCAGGACGTTTGGCATTTGCCAGAGAACACCAAGATTGGCAAATTCGCCATTGGCACCCTGTGCTCTTCACAGATGAAAGCAGGTTTACAATGAGCACATGTGACAGACGTGACAGAGTCTGGAGACGCCGTGGAGAACGTTCTGCTGCCTGCAACATACTCCAGCATGACCGGTTTGGCAGTGGGTCAGTAATGGTGTGGGGTGGCATTTCTTTGGGGGGCCGCACAGCCCTCCATGTGCTCGCCAGAGGTAGCCTGACTGCAATTAGGTACCGAGATGAGATCCTCAGACCTCTTGTGAGACCATATGCTGGTGCGGTTGGGCCTGGGTTCCTCCTAATGCAAGACAATGCTAGACCTCATGTGGCTGGAGTGTGTCCGCAGTTCCTGCAAGACGAAGGCATTGATGCTATGGACTGGCCCGCCCGTTCCCCAGACCTGAATCCAATTGAGCACATCTGGGACACAATGTCTCGCTCCATCCACCAACATCACGTTGCACCACAGACTGTCCAGGAGTTGGCAGATGTTTTAGTCCAGGTCTGGGAGAAGATACCCCTAAGGAGACCATCCGCCACCTCATCAGGAGCATGCACAGGCGTTGTAGGGAGGTCATACAGGCACGTGGAGGCCACACATACTACTGAGCCTCACTTTGACTTGTTTTAAGGACATTACATCAAAGTTGGATCAGCCTGTAGTGTATTTTTCCACTTTAAATTTTGAGTGTGACTCCAAATCCAGACCTCCATGGGTTGAAAAGTTTGATTTCCATTTTTTTTAATTTTTGTGTGATTTTGTTGTCAGCACATTCCACTATGTAAAGAACAAAGTATTTCAGAAGAATATTTAATTCATTCAAATCTATAATGTGTTATTTTTGTGAGAGAGAGAGAGAAAATTAATTTGATTTATTGGTAATACCTGGGAGTGTAATTCCAATCTTACTCTAACAATGAAGGTATCTTAAAGGCACACTTCAGGCACCAACACAACTTAAAGGGACACTAAGCACCAGAAACACTAAAGCTTAATGTAGTGGTTCTAGGGTATAGAGCCTGTCGGGGAAAAGGCAGTGTTTACATCGCCTCTTATGACCACCTCTAAAGGCTGTCACTGAGACTGTCACTAGGGTGGCTTTGTGGTTGTGGTCATGTGATCCTTGACAGACCAACATTCAATGTATCCTTGCATAGAATGGAAACACTGAATGTTCCCTATAGAGATGCACCGATTAAACACATCTCTAGGATCACCACACTTGCTCACTAGCAATAATGATTAGATATTGGGCCAATACATGTTAGAAGCTTAGCTCACACTGATATCTCATTGACTGAACACAGAATGTATAACTACTTACAATAAAGAAGATGTCTTGTAAAATATGGATGATAGGCTGTAAAAGCTATAACCCCCCTCTCCCCACCACCCCTTTTTGTTTATTTAAAGAACATCTAAAGGAGTTTTAAAGTGGAAAAGAAAAAACTAAACAGCATGACTAGGAGATCAAGGCATATCAAATGCACTTATGTTGTGTTTGTGCCTGAAGTGTTCCTTTAACCCTACAGTATCATCAAATATGAAAGCTACAGTATGTTGTCGATGAATACATGCATAAACAAAAAAAAACTGTGATCTTATGGTTTATTTGTCACCAGAACTACTCGTTATTAATTTACAATACACTATTCGTCTATTTATATATGATTCATTAGCGACAGGTAATTAGATGTACCTTGACCTTCAGTAGTATATATTTCAACATTCTGCTTCCTCAGCCATTCAGATGATCATCTGAAGAATTTTTTTTTGTTAATCTAGTTTCCCCACTCACTCTGCCGATACTTCAGATTCGAGCCTGCATGGTAGACAATCTGTTTCTACTAAAGAAGCCAATTTTACAAACTCAGCTGGACAAAAAAACAAAAAAAAAAAAACGTACTGCTCCATGAGTGTTAGCTTTTTCATGTGGTTGTCTGAAATGGAAGTAACTTATGAAGAACGAAAACCGCAGCTAGCAGGGAACCTTCTATGGTAAACATAAAAATGTGAAGTTTAAACAAGGATAACTGTGGTTACCACCAGATACCTTTTTTTTTCATTTGAGAAGTACGCTAAAAAACAAAAAATACTTTGTAATGAAAAGACAGACTCTAAAAGCACCACTTTACGGTCACAAAGCAATTGGTGGTTTCTCACATAATAATTCTGACTGTGATATTAACTAAAATCCATTCAGTTCAAATCTCCATTAAAGGACCACTATAGTCACCCAGTCCACTTCAGCTCAATGAAGTGGTGTGGGTGCCAGGTCCATCAAGGATTAACCCTGCCTGCTGTAAACATAGCAGTTTCAGACAAACTGCTATGTTTACAAATGGGTTAATCCAGCCTCTAGTGGCTGTCTCATTGACAGCCGCTAGAGGCGCTTCTAACTGTGATGGAGAATACTTTCCTATGGACAGGCTGAATGCGCGCGAGGCTCTTGCCGTGCATGCGCATTCAGCCAATGACAACCGAAGGAGAGTCCCCAGCGCTGAGGGAGCCCGGCGCTGGAGAAAGGTGAGTGTTTAACCCCCTTCCTCTCCATTCAGCGTGGCGGGAGAGGGACCCTGAGGGTGGGTGCACCCTCAGGGCACTATAGTGCCAGGAAAACGAGTTTGTTTTCCTGGCACTATAGTGGTCCTTTAAAGATATGACCTAACCAATGTCTATGTAAAATACACTGTCCACTACCTAAATTTCAAGCAACACGTTTCACTAGAGCTAAGCTCCTGAAGTCCCAATGAAGTCGTTGCATACTCATTTCCCTTGACACCTGGAACGTAGAAGCTATTATTTTACAAATAATGAAAATGCTGAGCACACAAGATGTAGCCAAGAGCACTCGAGATACTCAAGAATCCCAACATGGTATTATCTAATAGAACTCCAAAAGCTTAACGTTTGAATAAATGTCTAAATAATTAGTTTGCAGCCAATTTAATATTAACTTTAATGTGATTTTTAGTGCCTCATAATCATTTTAATTTGTTATTTTTTTTTTTTAATGAAGCACATCAAAATTACAATGGGTCAACATCAGTAATGTCCATTTAAACATCCATTACATTAATTATGCAAACAATAAAATATACAAAAATTTACTAAAAAACATTAAGATACAAACATTTCAATGTTCTTCTCTTCAAGTCATTGTCACAGTATCATAATCTAATCCGTACATATGCAACATCACATTTAGGTACATCAGGCAATCAATACAATATTATCCAATATTTGGTCAATATGTATATCTAAGAACCTTATATATTGTTATGTACGGCTATATCCTTATGGATTGCTCAAAAAAAGCTTTGTATGAGCAGTATGCTTCCTGTAAACCATTATACTAGTTACATAAAAACTGACATAAATCCGGGGGGAAAGGGGCTGACAGTCGAGCTAACCAGATGTGTTTTCATTGAACTCTGGCACAACTGAGCCTCATCTTGGCTATTACTGGTCATTTTCGTGATTTTTTTTTTTTTTTATCTCGTTTTTATTGTTTCATAGAATGGGAAAAGCAGAATTAAATACAGTGTTGGGCATGCAGGCCCTATAAGTGATACACTCATTATTGCGTGTTACAAATGTCATGTATTTAGGTAATGCTTAACTTTGTACATTAACTTAAGATGAAATGTTTCCAAGGTCACAATGCAGAGTGGATTATCGTGATTTTTGCAGCTCTGCACAACGATAGCCAATTGCTGCATTGAGTGGGGGGCCTGAGAAAACTTGTTTCCTCTACTTCTGCCAAGATATACCACACTCCACAAATGTGGCCTAGCGTGGAAGGCGGCCTAATGACCAGGAGAAACGGCAGATCTCCCGACATGGGGAACGCTACAAGCAGAAACTCACCTGAAGCCCAGCATCCCCCCCCTTCCCGACTGGTGGGGGTTATCCCAGTCCCTGTGGCAAAATCCACATATCTACAGCATATAAATCCTCCACTGGAACATATACCGCATGCCGAGCCCAAGATGGCCGCCAAGCCACAGTCTCGAGGGGGTCCACAGATCCAAACCTGGAGAGAGAGTTTTGAAGCTCGGTTTGATCGAATCTGCCAAGAATTCTCAAGGCACTTGAGGTATAGATATATCCTCCATGATTCACCTGCTACTCCAGAGATTGTGACTGATGTGGCAGCTCACCGATCCAGCGCTGGGTCCTGGCCCCATATAGAGGGCGCATCCACCTCGCCGACTGACTTACCTCACCAGGCGGCAGAGTGTACTGCAGCACACCACCACCAAAATAAAGTTATCAACTCCCCGCTGCTTCCCTGCACGGCACACTGGAGGGAGTCGAGCCTACACTCGCAAGCCGCTCTGTTAGATGGTTCACAGCGGGCAACACCAACCACAAGCACTGAGAAGGCCTAAAGGCCCTGGTCAGGTTACCTTTTAGTCGTCACAGAGCAGGAACACACAGGCATTCGGGGCTGGTGGCGCCCTTAAAAGCAGAAAGGTGGACACAAGGTTAGCAGTCTGCCTTCAATAGGCATCGGCTAAGCAGTCAAATGCAAAGGCCACAGATCCCCTAATGCAAAGGTTTTTTTAATTTTATTTATTGCCCAATATGTTTGATTTACTGCTTTAGTCCCAATGATAATCTCTAATTTCTATTTCTTATTATATTTTTATGCCAGTAATGTTAATGTAACAGGTTATTTAGTGCACATACCATCTAACACCAAGTCTAGCATTTTTTTGTGTAAGACAGTGTTGCCTTTCTCAGTTAACATGACATGATAGCCTAAACATGCTTACTACACTACGTTATAAAACTGTGCTCCACCATTGAAAATGCCATGCTCCGATTATAACTCATAATGCGTGACTTCAGGCACCATGCAACTCTATGACAACAGTATATATTGCATCTGCTATATTGAAATGACCAGACTGGTCCATGTGGGAGCCTTCTCTTGGAAGCATTTGGCCCAGACCATATCAACCTATCTAGCAGACACTCCTAGTGCTGCTGCAGGTATATCTTAGCATGTGATGGGCATTAACTTAACATGTTATTTTTATAAGCTCCTACACTGAGAATAGTACCCAGTGGCTACTAAGCTACAGTCATAACAATAGTTTTGCGTGTTACACTATTTTCTTTCTTCAAATATGTTAATGTCAGCTTCCATAATATGTCTCAATCACTCGTCACCTTCTCCTTACCTGACATAACTTGTATCAGCCTATTTATTACCTAAAAGATGTGCAGTTCTACTTCGCGCCATAGTACTAAGCCTGTTTAAATGCCTGTACTTGATGTTGTGGCTTAATGAGCCTGTTTGTTAAACTTTTGCACAACAACAATAAAGAATTTTAAAAAACAAACAACAAAAAAACGGACATAAATCTGTAAGGGAAAATACTTATGCTTCTGCTGAGCAGTTAAAGACCATTTTAATTCTGATCTAAGGTACAAAGTTTAAACATTTTTTTTTAATTCCCTGTCTGGGAAGTTTCCTGCAAATGAATCTGTTTCTCATTTCTTTTGGAACACTGAGAAGTAGGGAATGTGTCTCAACTTTCCATCTTCAATATTTTGTCTGACGGTATTTGGTAAAGTAAAAAATTCCTTTTCTTATGGCAAGCGGAACCCCTCTAGTTGGTTTTGTAATTCTTTCATGTCTCGAGTTTAAAACAATTTGTTTTGAAGGCAATTTAAGCAGAAATCCCAGGTAAAAATACTGCTATTTGAATAATTCTTATGTGAAAAATTAATATGTTCTGAAGGTCATCAAAAGGTTCAAAAGCACAAATTCATAAAAAATATATGATTTCACAGAATTGGTGTTCATACCTATTGTATGGTTTTCCTGAAGATAAACCTGCTCATACAGTACCATGCTGTATAAAGTTAGATTTGAAAGACTTTTGTTACAGCTATGGGGGGAGGGATATAATTACACTGAACAGTACAAGAACTTGTACAGCAGATCTACGTAATGTATCTCTCTCTTAGCTTCAGGTGTAGCTTCATGCATGAAAAAAATAAAATCAAAATAGCAATGAAGCTACCCAGTGAACTTATTAGAGGCAATGTCCCTTCCTTATTTTTTTTTTTTTTTTAAAGATATTAACTGAAAAATTAAAGTCCCTTACTATTTTTACATGGAAGAAAGTATTCAATAGCTAAGCTGATTTCCCGACAAAGCTGCATTTGTTCCAGATATTTTTCAAAAAAATCAACTTATGGAGTGTAGTAATAATCTGATAAATTCCAATGATTTCAGTAACTACCAACTACTAATTATTTTCTTTTTTGTTGTTGTTGCTCTTGAACTATCTAGATCATCTACGACATGTAAGGTGAACAAGGTAAGTTCTCCAGGCAACTGAAGTCCTTAGAATAGAAACTCCTAATGGCGAGTATACACGGCTGAAGTCAATGGGCATATTTTGTGCATATTCTGCTTTACACATACACACAGGAGTTTGTATTTGCATACCAAGTATCTGTTTAACATCAATAAAAAAATAAAACAAAAATAAATATCACAATATACACCTGCTAGGGAATCACGCCTCTTTCATTAATGATGCAGGCAGTCTGTGAAATTAGAGTTAAGGAAAACCAACACATTATGCTAAGCTTTGCAGCTGCAATTTGCTCTCCCAAGACCAGATAAGGCAGGAGTGATATGTGCACTTTCACTAAAGCACATTATCATCTTACAACAATTTATCGGCCTGCAAGTATTCTCTACGTGGCTATATCACAACATGTGGTTTGGCTGCTTGTTGTAACATGCAACTAAGCCTAAGTGAATTTGAGGTTAAAAGGGAACTGTCACCTGGAAAATAAAATTACATACTATCCCTACAGCATAAAAACTGTCTATTTGTACTTAACATAAAAATGTAGAATTTGACAGTCAAAAACACTCAGCCTATCTCACCTCATATAGAACTCGCTGTAAAGCTTTGATTGATCTTTTGCCTTGTTTAATTTTCAGAACGACCAATCTAATGCAGTTTGAGTGAAAGTAAAAGCATAAAGAGAGAGACATTTCACGGTTTCTCTAAAACTTAGACAGATCCACTCAATAGCTCCTTGTGTGAAGACACACAAAATTCTGTACACTGCATTAGTTTGGCAACTCACTCGTTAATGGTAATATTAGCTCAGTGACTAATTGTTAAACAATACAGCTAATATAATATTAGTACATAATCTATGCTGAAAATAAATTCAGCAGTGGACCTCTGTGGGCTGTTGTTAGTTTCAATGGGAAGCTAATGATGCTCAAAGTAAAATAGGTTATTTCAGATAAGTACATTGGACCTATCAGATAAATGCTTTGTTTTTGGAACATACCTTTTTGCACACATTGTCAAAGCTGATTTCTTTCTGTAAAGCTGTTTTTGTCACATCATCAGGTTTCAACTCCTGTTGGTAAAAATATGTATTTTAATACAAATAAGATTTTTTTGGGAAACTAAAACCTTCAGGTGATTATATATATATATATATATACATACATACAAACACACACACGTTGAGATGTATTCAATGAAGCTCTACACGGTTTATGTTTACAATTGCAGATGACGTGTTATTTAATTAATAACGTTAAGTAATTAACGTATTACTTAATTGGGCATACTAGATGGGCCGAATGGTTCTTACCTGCCGTCACATTCTAGGTTTCTATTTATTAAAGATGTGAATTGAATAACTTAATTTAATATTCCTACTGTTTATGGCTAGCTGCAAAGCAAGGAAAGAGTGCTACTGTATCTGGTGAAGAATACAAGTGAGCCTGCTCGTCTGGAATGGCAACACAATACAAACATTACCAAAAAAAGATTTGGCAAGAGATGGCAGACTGAGGAACAGGTTTAACCAGCAAATGCATACTCAGACTAGGATCAGATTTAGCAATGTCAGGAACAGAGCAGGTTTTCAACTAAAGACAGATTGAAAACGAGAACCTGAACTGCTGATGACTAAATTGCAAAGGCAACTTCCTACGTAAAGTGCCCTGCAATACATAGTGACAAAGCCCGACAACAGTATGCATTTACATTTTTAAATGAGGACAGTATGGAGGAAATCTGTATGAAAGTGTTTTCCACATTTCAGTGAAATTTTGATTTACTACGCTGCGTAATTGTGGTGTAATTTAAAAATAATGTTTAAAGGGATACACTAAACACCAAAACAACCTTAGCTTAATGGAGTGATCTTGGTGTATATATTTAATGCCACAGCAGTCTCACTGCCATTTAGGAGCTAAATCACTTTGTTAAGGTCACACCCTATACCAACTCCCACAGTAATGCTATACCAACCATACCACTACTCAATGCTAACACTAATTGTATGCCTACTCTAATCTTACCCTTAATGCTACACTACCCCAACCCTAAAACAGCCTTAAACCATACCTTACCACAACACTAACCATAACCCTACCCTACTCTTACTCCACCATAGAGTCACTTGTGAAAATCAGCTTCTAAGATACACATTTTAAATATCCCCTGGAAAGGGCAAATGGTATGGACACATGGACAGGTCATGGGTGGGGCCATGAGGGGGAGACCGTAGGTCCTCCCCTTTTGCCACTTTTGGGCACCCACCTTCTCCCCATGAGTGGGGAGACACAAGGTCCCCCTTTTTTAGGGGCCCCCACTCGGGGTGCACGAGTGGGGATTCGGGGGGGGGGGGGGAAACAGTGCCCCACCAAGGGACACTTTATTAGTCATGGCGGCCAGAGGCTGCTCACTTTTAATTAGACATGCCCCTACTGGCAGCATAGCGAGGAGGGGCAGAAGGAAGATTTTAAATTCCTTATTTACCCATGCTAAGTAATCTTTACTTACTTTTAGTTAAGTTGGCTGAAAGACCAATTTAGATTTTTTTTTTTTTAGCCTTTTAGTAGATAGCTCCCTAATACTGTGTTAATAAGGGGGTTATCTACTAAGCGGCTGCAACATGCAGCCGCGGCAAGAATAGGATTGTAATTTCATTCATTCAAATGAAATTCCGATCCTAACAAAAAAGTACAGAATTTCGTCCTTATATGAATGGACAAACTGCTAGGACAAAATTAGTTTCGCCGGCACCCTGTGGGAATATTGAAAAGAGGCATCGCAAGATCACTGAAGAAGGGGAGTATTGTGGGAATATTTTTTTGACCACAGGAAATGGGACGGACTTAAGCTCCTCCTTGGGTCAAAGCTGGCCAAGCGTAGGGAAAAATACATAAGACAAATAAGTCCCTACTTTGTCTTGATTTTTTTTTTTTAAAGAAAACTAGATCAGATAGGAAGAAACGAAGAACAGATCCTGACAGAGGAAGAGAAGAGGAAACGATTGGGGAAAGGTAAGTTCGGCATGCCAGTACTGCTTTAAGACACGTCTATTTTGTGCAAATATAGTGTTCAGTTCTGTGTAATGCATGGTTTAGTTAGTATGTAAAATATGAAGGCATAAAATAAAACAAAAAAAATGAAAACAAAACTTACTGAGGTATGCCCGATTTGAAATACACATTCATCGGAATAGAAAATACAGAAAAAATTAAAACAAAGTATGCAACTTTCCTGTGCTGGTAGATGTGTTTTGTTAACATAGATGTTAGGATATGGTTGTGATTTGCATTGTAATGTAACTGTGTTTTAATTTCTATCATATGATGTAAAATGTGATGTCTATAAATTGTCACTTGTTGATACAGATATTGAAAAAGAAAGATCCTTATTCCACATTAATTATGGCAAAGTCTGTATATGTTATTCAAAGATTTTTTGGGGGGAGAATTCCGTATCAAATGTGTCATCTGAAGAAAACTGCAGGCGAAACGTGTGTGCAATGAACCAATATCTTCAAGAAAGCATATCAATTAAACTGCAGAAAGATAAGTCCTGCTCTCACTCCCATCACTGGGCGGCAGCAATGACTACAGTACACATCAGCCCCAATATATAGTAAAAACCAAAGAAAAACAAATTACCTGCACTCTCTCCTTAATCCCTATGTATTTTTAAACAAATGGAGGTTTTTTAGTTACCTCCATTGACCATGAGAGGAAAAGCCCACCTGCAAACATCAAGGCAGATCCCCCCTCCCTGGTGGGTCCTAACTCTAACCATTCACCTTGCTTCCTTGAGCTTCTGGCAAAGATCTCTAATGAGACAGAAAGGGGTATTTTTATATACACCCCTATATATTATTAACCCTTAATAGGGAACACATGGGATGGGCGGCTGCATTGTAACAAGGCTGAGTGATACAAAAAAATGGATATAAATGCAGAAAGATAAGTCCTGCGCTCACTCCCATCACTGGCCGGCAGAGTACACATCACCCCAATATATTTTAAAAAAACAAAGAAAAAACAAGTTACCTGCGCTCTCTCCTTAATCCCTATGTATTTTTAAACAAATGGATGTTTTTTAGTTACCTCCAATAGCCATGAGAGGAAAAACCAAAATGAATTAAAAATTGAAGATCTGGAATTTGCAAATCAGATTTCCAGGGAAGGAAAATAAAAACAGTAGACATAGAATGCAGGGGTTTAAGATACATCTTTAGGTAGCTGTGGGGTACTGTAAAATGGAGTAAGGAGCCATAAACAATCTAAGAATGCTGGGAAATTCTGGAGAAGAGAGATCTTCCATGGGAACCACATGCTTCTTTGGTTTGTCTGTAGTAGGAAAGTAGTTGTTATTTCACACTTGTTGGCTGCATTCAACAAGTGCATTATTAGATTGTGGTGTAAGAGTAGGTGTGTGGGAGTATACGGTAGTGGAGCTGTGAGTCAATGTATACACAAATATCGATTATGAGGTAATTTGTGAATCACGGTACTGCTGGAATCTGGAGTGCAGATTTACCACTAAGGGGATCCTTTATGGGCAACTGAACACTTTTTACTCACATTAATTTCTGGACCAGGGAGGAGAGGGAACCATTCAAATATTTTATATTAGTCATAGTCTGTCAAATGCATTACAGGCTGAGATTGGCAGCATGTCTGTTATTACATAGAACAGAATTGCATTTTGAAAAATACCAAATCCAGTGAACGTAACTGCTCAAACAGAGTGCTGCCTAAAGTTTTTCCTCATAGAATAGGATACATATAATTAAAGGTCTGATGGTTATACATTCAGAAATGTGTAATAAGAGTGCAATCTTATGAGAAAGGGGCAGCTTTTCAATTTCTCTTTAGAGGCCATGAAATGACCCAATGTGTTTTCCAGAATGGTCAAATTGAATCAACTCTCCCAGTTGGAAAGTTAGTATTGCCAGCTAGCAAGACCACAGGGGAATTATGTCCCATGAAAAAAAAGGTGCATAACTTTGTCACAGTATTTGGTGACTTAATCATCTACCACTCTCACTGAGAAAAATCCAAACATATCTTTGTAGACACGTAGCAAAAACCTAAAATAAAAATATGTTTGGCCTTACATTTCTGATATATCCTATGGTTTCCTTAATAGTTTTAGTCACCCACAAAAGAGCGATACTGAATAATGATAAATAGTGCAGTATTGCTAAATAGAAAGAAAAACTGTGTTAGAACATATTCATTATGCCAGGACTTGTTACCTGTTTTTTACATTGAGATATGTTTTTGCTGGCACCAAGCTCAATAGTTGTTTACACGACTGAACAGGAAAAAAAAAAAAAAAAAATATGTGAAAAAAGCCAGACTTGCTTTACGTTGATCGTTTCCATTCCACTTCAAAGCAGTGGTGTTGTCCAACGAGGGGGGAGGAAGGGGTATACGTTCTTGTATGGGTTGGTAAAATTTACAATAAAGCTGTTTAAGAAATCCAAATAATGGTTTCACAAAACATGCAGAATTAGGTGTTAAAGGTCCTCACAGAAAGGAATTGAATGGAAGATGAACTTGTGAGATCAGCAGGTGTCTGTCACAATATTTGCAAAATGATAAATCACTCCACAAAACATGAAATGCAAGAATGATACCTACATAGCGAGTCCTGAGGTGAAATATGTTATTTTATAAAAATGTCTACTATGTTGAGAACCAAAAAGTCATATAAATTCTAAGAATTCAGCCCGAGAGCAAGGATGTTCCATTTAAAAATAGTACTAATAGATATCAAATCACTTGCACAAAAATAAGTTTTAAATAATACTGTAGATGAATGTATGCCACCTTTCCACCTCAAAGCAAATAGGATACTTCTGTCCTGTCTGCCATTACAAACCACAATGACCAGCGTTCTAAACAAAAATAGAATGACTGTCTTTAATTATCCAGAAAGCGGCTCTTGGAGTACAGGAATCCCACTGCTGGAGATGGCTCATCTATACTTTTTTCACTTTAGGAACACAAAATATATATTTAAATACAGTCTTTGAAAATACATTTATTAAGTTGGTCCTACACAGTTTTTACTTAATTTCTAGAATAAAAGGGGGTTTAGGGAGTTTTCAGACAGATAAAAAAATAAATAAAATAAAACAACAACTTGGGAAATTATTTGTGGAGTAGTAGGTAACAAGTTAGAAATGTTAAACATTATGAATGCAGGGAAAATAAAACGCAGAATGTAAATGTGATGCAGAAAACGTACACTTGATAACAGCAGCGATAGTTCTTTAACCCCTTAAGGACACATGACATGTCATGATTCCCTTTTATTCCAGAAGTTTGGTCCTTAAGGGGTTAAAAAGTAAAATGTTATTTTATTCACAGCTATCAGAACCTGCTAGCAAAGATATTGAATATATATTATGTTGCACAGTTTATTGCAGCTGGTACCTCTTAGTTGTTGGGAGAGACATATAATCTACAAGTCACCGCACTGAATTTTATGTAAGTGCTCTAAATTCGACTCCCCATGGAATTTCTATAGCTTAGAGCAGTGTGTTTTCTGTTGGACACAAAAGCCAAAATGTATGCTTTTTAGCAAGTATGGCATATTAGCTATTTTCACTAGCACAATTATATACAAAGCTTTATTGCCTACAAGAAAAAAACTGGCATCACTATACAATAAGGATCTATATACAAGGACGGGTTGGCACTAGCACCCAATTGCTGAAATCGCCTAAGGGAGATCCATGTTCAAAAGGTGTAATAAAGGAACCTACTCCATGGAGGGAGTATATACACACACGTACACTAGAAAAACGTAAACTTAAAAAGATTGAACATTTAAAAAAAACAAACAAACAAAAAAAAAACATTGATATAGTGCAATAAACAAATGAGTAGTATATTCATCATGATGCTGACCTTGATCTCCGCACACTTTGTGCAACACTTGGGGTGTCTATAGAGATGTGCCATGGTTTTGAGCCAACAACCCATCATCATGTAATACATACATTTTGATGTTTACTGAATAAAGATTTATGTATCTCTTTTAATTGCAATAAGAGGAGCAAAAGTAAACATTTTAAAGGTAGACTGATACACATTTTCTTTTACCTATACAGTTCCTTTAAGTACTTGGAAGTCTGCCTTCAGTTAACATAAACCTGCTCAATACGAGTTAATGCTTGTACATAGAAATCCCTCTTTTAGGTTCAGCGCAGTGAAATTCACAGATCACAATGTGTGCCAAACCACAATTGTGTAATATTCTCCATGGAGAGTTTTTCGTAAACAAAATGTTCTTCTGGCAAGCAACCAATGGTCAGAAAGTGTCCCACAGAGGAATCAAGACAGTTTTTAGTGGAGCAGATTTCCTCTCTGTTGATAATACACAGAAGCATCAATACACATATTCCTTATTATAATTTAACTGAACACTGGGATAACCATCTGGGATGGATTGTTAACAGCATTCAACCACACATTCTCAGAGGCGAATAACACTGTTTATTATTCATTTATGTGTTTTTACTATTTTAAAGATTTTCTACATTATACAAGTTTAGCACCCAATTTATACAAGGGATGCATTGGATGATGGGAATGTCCTCATTTGCTCAAGTTTATTTTAACTTATAAAAGATATGAAATGTATACAGCAGACCAATTGTTTTAAAGGACAAGAAAGAAATAACACCAAGTAATTTTCTTTAAGGAAAAAAAAATGCCTTTATATAATTAGCAGTGTTACAAAGGTAAATATGTTGTTTGAATTATCTTTATAGAATGTTTAGTTTAGAAAGTATGATCCTCTGCCAAACCATTTGTTTGCAGGGCTTTGTACTGCATAAATTACAATGGTGCTCTTCTAGAGTCCAGTCATAGGTCAGGCAATACGGTGATGCACATAGTGACGTGATGGAGCAGTTTCCAAGACAATTTTGCAGAGCACATGGAGAATATGTTCTCATATTAATGCATATTCTGTGTTCATACATGGCAAAATCCTGTAATAAAGCAGTACAATGTCAGGGTCATTCACTTTGTGACTTATGATTCATCAGTAAGTGACCACCACTGTCTTCCTAACAAAATGTAAGATCAAAGTTTAAGGGCATAGTCTTAAATTAGAGGGGCAAAGATTTAAAAATAATATCAGGAAGCATTACTTTACTGAGAGGGTAGTGGATACATGGACTAGCCTTCCAGCTGAAGTGGTACAGGTTAACTAAGTGAGGGAGTTTAAGCATGCGCGGGATAGGCATAATGCTATCCTAGAACAAAAAGGTAATGGTTCAGCGCTAAGCAATCTAAGAGAAACTAAAAACAAAAAGTAAAAGCAGCAACCTATAGGAATGAGGTCCCTCAAATAACCTCACATGGAATGGAACAAACAGGAAAAGGTATATAGGTCGCGCTAAGGGGACAAGAAGGTAAAATAAATAAAATAAATAAAAGTAATAAAAAAGTCCCAAATATAAATAAACCTGTGTGGTTCTAGGAGAGTATACAGTCCAAATGGGTATCTGAGTCTTCTTATGTTGAGGATGTCTTGAAATGCTTGTCAATACGTAGATACATAAAAAGAAAAGAAGAAGAAGAGGAACTCCAATAGTGTAGAATGTCGATATAGTTTCCAGGTATAGGTCTGTAAGTAGGTAAATGACTCACCTTGGCGTGAGCAAAGAAACCTTGCTCAAGTGTTCTTAGCGTTCAGTGGCGTCAATCCCCCACTGGTAGGATATAGGTGATGGGGTCCTGGACAATTCCTCGGTATATAAAAAATGAGAGACGTATATAGTGCTCACTGATGTTTGTAAAAACAAATAAAATAAGTAAAATACTCACATGTACATGAGCAGGAAATACTGCTCAGTATGATGGCGCAGGTGGTACAATCCCCACCTTAGGATTCTTGGAAGTTGACGTACTTCAATCCAAATTGATGACCAGGTAATTCAAATTGAAAATAACAATAAAAAAAATAAAATAAAAGGAATTAAAAGTATATAGGCAAAAAATAAGGGCCAATATTCCTTTATTAAAATATAAATTATCAGTATATATAACAGACTTTGTAATAGCCAAAACGCGTTTCACCACACAGGGCTTTATCAAATGGCATTTAAAAGAGAGAAAAACCTGGTACACAAGCTACTTTTATAAGCTAAAAAATCAATTAGGCATTTGAATTTTGGCGCCAAAATGACGTCACACTTACAGTATGCATAGTTTAAAAACAGTTTAAAAGTAAGAAATTGAAATGTGAAAGCATTATATAATGCAATATTAAGATAATTATCAGTTTCAAATAATAAAACGAGCATTTTTTATAATGTTATACACTAGGAGAAATGATGTCAGTGAAGAAAATATATTCGCAATTAGTATGTATACAAAAGTTAAAATTGATGATATAGGAACGTATATAAAAGGGATATGAAAATGTCTGTGGGCTTGAAATAGAAAAACGAGCATTATTAAAAAAAGTAATATATAATGAAACACGTGATCGCGGCTAGACGCGATCACGTGATCGGAACTGGGTATTGTGGGAAATGTATGCCAGAGAGTCGGTATGACAACAAGGTGTTTAAAGATCAGACTGGCAGAACATTGCCGTAATATCAAAAAAGGATATGATAACCATTCAGTGTCCAAACACTTTTTATTGCACAATAAAGACCCAAGTGCTCTTATAGTTACTGGGATAGAAAAAGTTTCCATGCCATGGAGAGGAGGGGATATGAAAAATATTTTGGGGAAAAGAGAGATGAATTGGGTTTTTCAATTAAAAACCCTATCACCTCAAGGCTTAAATGTTGAATTTGACCTTTTCAACTTTTTATAATAATTTTTTTTAATTTTTTTTTTCATTTTATTATTATTATTTATATTTATTCTTATCTTTTATTTTTACTCATTACTATTATTTTAACTTTTATTATTATTTCATTTTTTCCTATACTTACCCTTATTCACTTTTATATACATTCTTTATTTATATATATATTTTTTTATTATTATCTTTTTCTTTTTTCCTTAGATTTATGCAGGATATTTCCTGCTATAAACCCCTCTTTTGTCTCTTCCCATTTTTCTTTTCTCCCCCTCTCCCTTCACCAATTAGGTCTTTTTTTTTTACATGTAGGGCTAATCATCTAGCTCCTACATGCCTCTGCTGCACTATCTAGTCGAGAGACAGGCGATATACTTTTGCGCCGATCTCCCGACTCTCTGGCATACATTTCCCACAATACCCAGTTCCGATCACGTGATCGCGTCTAGCCGCGATCACGTGTTTCATTATATATTACTTTTTTTAATAATGCTCGTTTTTCTATTTCAAGCCCACAGACATTTTCATATCCCTTTTATATACGTTCCTATATCATCAATTTTAACTTTTGTATACATACTAATTGCGAATATATTTTCTTCACTGACATAATTTCTCCTAGTGTATAACATTATAAAAAATGCTCGTTTTATTATTTGAAACTGATAATTATCTTAATATTGCATTATATAATGCTTTCACATTTCAATTTCTTACTTTTAAACTGTTTTTAAACTATGCATACTGTAAGTGTGACGTCATTTTGGCGCCAAAATTCAAAATGCCTAATTGATTTTTTAGCTTATAAAAGTAGCTTGTGTACCAGGTTTTTCTCTCTTTTAAATGCCATTTGATAAAGCCCTGTGTGGTGAAACGCGTTTTGGCTATTACAAAGTCTGTTATATATACTGATAATTTATATTTTAATAAAGGAATATTGGCCCTTATTTTTTGCCTATATACTTTTAATTCCTTTTATTTTATTTTTTTTATTGTTATTTTCAATTTGAATTACCTGGTCATCAATTTGGATTGAAGTACGTCAACTTCCAAGAATCCTAAGGTGGGGATTGTACCACCTGCGCCATCATACTGAGCAGTATTTCCTGCTCATGTACATGTGAGTATTTTACTTATTTTATTTGTTTTTACAAACATCAGTGAGCACTATATACGTCTCTCATTTTTTATATACCGAGGAATTGTCCAGGACCCCATCACCTATATCCTACCAGTGGGGGATTGACGCCACTGAACGCTAAGAACACTTGAGCAAGGTTTCTTTGCTCACGCCAAGGTGAGTCATTTACCTACTTACAGACCTATACCTGGAAACTATATCGACATTCTACACTATTGGAGTTCCTCTTCTTCTTCTTTTCTTTTTATGTATCTACGTATTGACAAGCATTTCAAGACATCCTCAACATAAGAAGACTCAGATACCCATTTGGACTGTATACTCTCCTAGAACCACACAGGTTTATTTATATTTGGGACTTTTTTATTACTTTTATTTATTTTATTTATTTTACCTTCTTGTCCCCTTAGCGCGACCTATATACCTTTTCCATAATGCTATCCTAACTATAAGATAATGCCAGGGACTAATTAAAAGTATTTTGAAATATTGGGCAGAGTTGATGGGCCGAATGGTTCTTATCTTCCGTCACATTCTATGTGACGGTTAAAAAGAGGACAGTCTTAAATTGGAGGGTCTTAAAGCAAGTACATCTCCCTTTCTTCTCTCTCACCACGGGCTGCCATGCAACTAGATTTCACCTTGGGGAGATTTGTAAAAACGCAGAGATGTGCATGTGATAGTCCCACTATCTATCACTCCATGGGGAGTCGAACTTAGAGCACTTACATAAAATTCAGTGCGGCGACTCTCCAGACTCCAATACTACTTTAATACATTTGAAATGCTTTGGCCTTATTAATATGTATTTTTTTGGAAGCTTAAATCTTTAAAGTTTTTGCATAAAATAAATGTTTTTCAGAATGCTGCACCATAAGCCTGCCTCCTTAGTCACACCACCTCACTCCAGAAAAAGACTTCCTTATCAAAAAGGTATGCACACAGCTCAGCCACTGACAGCACTGAATGATCTGAACAATAAAACAGCCTGCATTAGAAGGAGAGGACACACATGTTTGAATGAAAGGCCCCTGGAAAGGTTGTTTGCCTTTTTCCACCAATGTAGTTGTATTCTTTCTGTGCTTGACAGGCAGATAACTGCATCGAAATCTTACATTTTTTATTTTTTTTGACCATTCTGCAAGAATGTTTCATTGTAGAGGTCTCCAACCACTGGGATCGCAGAGGTGAGAAGTCCCAGGACACTCATGGCCTGTCTGATGGTGCAAACTTTTTTCTTTTGTAAGCTTGAAACTGCCTTTATAATTCTTTTTTGCTTTGACACAGGAAGAAAAAGAGATAGCGATCTTGAATCCCCAGGAATTCCATCCTTGTTGAAGAAATCATCTGAGATTTTTGTAGGTTTAAAATACAACCGTGATCTCTTCAAAACCTCCTGGTGATCTTGAGGTCTAACCGCAGAAGATGTTCTGATTCTGTTTTTAAGAACCAGTCGTCCTGTTAAGGAACTATTGTCACACCTCTTATACGTAAGGTTGCTGCTAGAAGAGCCAGGATCTTTGTAAAGATACGGGAGGCTGATGATAGCCTGAACGGTAGGGCCTTGAACTGAGTGTGAAGAATCTTTTTCCTGCTGGTATTGGAAACCTTAGGAACTTCAGAGAAAATACAGATATTGGAACATGGGGGTAGGCATCCTTCAAGTCTAATTTTGCCATAAATTCTCCCTTCTGCAGGATGTGCTTTGACATCTTTGAGGTCTAGGATAGGACGGAAGACTTGTCTGGCTTCTGAATTAAAAACAGTCGAGAGTAAACCCCCTGGAGCTCTTGGCATCTGGGTACTTTTTGTATGACCCCCCCTTGCATAAAAGAAGCAGGGCTTCTGCTAGGAGGGCCTCTGATTTCTTTTGTGATGGATACTTTGAAAGAAGAAAAAAATATGGTCTTTATTATCCAATTGTTTGATGTCGACTCGTTCCATTTCTGAGAAAAGAACCAAAGACGACCTCCCACTCTTTCGGCGTCAATCTCTTTTCTTTTTGTTTTGTTTATTGAGATTCCTGAAGCTGGTGTGTCTATTCTGTTTGCGAAAGCTCTCAAAATTTTCTTGGTAGCAGAAGGAATGCTGTCCAGTGAATTGAGATCTTTTATTGAAGGTAGTGTCAGGAAGCAGTGCCTATGGTAGTTTTCTCAAGCTCAGGGCAATATGGGAGGCTCTCTGTATGGTCCAAAATAAAACTGGAATTAGAGAAAGGAGGTATACTCACAAGCGGGGAGCAAATGGAATATTGCTCAGTATAGAAGGTGTAGGTGGAATAATTCCCACCAAGGATATCACTTGCAAGTCCTCAGGTTCCTGACGATAAAACTATTGGATGTTTAAAAGGATAGGCTAGGAGGCTCCAAATAGCATTAAATGGCTATCTTTATTGGAGACAAATAGAACAATATAGCAAAAGGGCTTTTTTTCTAAAAACACCAACGCATTTCACCTGTTAGCAAGGCTTTTTTAAAGTGTTACAGCATGAAGGGCCTATCCTGTTTAAATAGCATTCCAATTAGTATCATAATTAGTGACATCATTAATCATGTGACAAAACATTCAGTAGAATATCGAAGTAATAAAAGTCAAAATAGAAATGAAAACATAAAATAGAAATGAGCTTAGAATCTTAAAGGACCACTATAGTGCCAGGAAAACATGCTCGTTTTCCTGGCACTATAGTGCCCTGAGGGTGCCCCCACCCTCAGGGTCCCCCTCCCGCCCGGCTCTGGAAAGGGGAAAGGGGTTAAAACTTCCCTTTTTCCAGCGCTGGGCGGGGAGCTCTCCTCCTCCGATCCTCCTCTTCTCCTCCCATGCGTGGTCACATAGAAAAGCATTCATAATGCTTTCCTATGGATGCTGGCGTGCTCTCACTGTGAAAATCACAGTGAGAAGCACGCAAGCGCCTCTAGTGGCTGTCAATGAGACAGCCACTAGAGGAAATAGGGGAAGGCTTAACCCATTCACAAACATAGCAGTTTCTCTGAAACTGCTATGTTTATGAAAAAATGTGTTAACCCTAGCTGGACCTGGCACCCAGACCACTTCATTAAGCTGAAGTGGTCTGGGTGCCTAGAGTGGTCCTTTAATAGTATACAAGTTTTATAAAGAATATAAAAAATTTAAAAGAGAGTGTGATAGCTTTAAGGGGAAGCACCAAGATGGCCGCCAGGACATGTTACTTGGGGACACCGAGATAGCGGCCGCCAGCTTAAATGTAAATGCTGGAGTGGAGACAAAAGTATTTAATTTGTTTAGACAACTTGGGTAGATTTGAAAGGAATTGGGGAGATGAAGGGAGCCAGTCCCTTATAAAAACAATCAGTTATTAATCCTAGTTCTACAAACTGCAGACTCAGAGTTTCCAAAATGGCGGGCGCGACCCGGACCAATCTTTTATTGGCTTGAGATCCTGTATATCTGGAATCCTGAGGAATCCTGGAATCCTTTTTGGTTTCAGACATCTTTTTAATCATTTCTTCCAGAGGAGTGCCAAATAATTTGTTCCTCTCTAAAAGGTAATTCGCATAAAGCAGGTTTTGAAGCTGAATCCGAAGTCCATGTTCTGAGCCATAAGGCTCTTCTGGCCACTGAGGATAAACTCATTACCAGAGCACATAATCAAAGGATCTCATCAGAGACATCCAATAGAAATTCATTAGAGTTTCAGAAGAAACAACAGCTGGGTCTTTCTCTGATTTTCCCATAAGGGATTCTTCTAAGGCTTGTAACCATGCCATGGGCTTTTAGAACTGCTGAACCAGAGATTCCAGCTTTGCATTGATAACCCAAGGCCTGAATTATTCTTCTGCTCGATGTTCCGGCCCACTAGTCCATGTGATCTTTTAAACCAGAAACCTCACTAATTGGGATTGTGGTTTTCTTTGATAATTGTGCCATCTTGATACCGACTTTTGGAAGTCCTTCACACTTTTCCTCAATCTGTAGTTTAAAAAGTTGTTTTGAAGTGCTTAGAAATGAAAACACGTCTTTCTGGGTTTTTCCACTCTCTCTGCAGTAGTTCCATAACCCTTGGGTGCATAGGAAAACCTTTTACCTTACCCCTGGTAGGTTCATTTTCCTGAACAACCGCCGATACTTCCCTGATACATTTCTTTAATTCCTGTGATGGAAATCCCTCACCCACACTTGAGGCCAGACTGGAAACTTTCGAAAGGGAAGAAGATCAACATTCGCTTGATGAGAGTTTAGACAGGCATGGGGATTTTTTTCTCCTTCGTTTCTTTACCTGTGTCTTGAATATTAACAGACCCGCTGTCTTTTTTTAATTGTATCTTTAAAAGACTCTGGGATAAAGTCTCCTGAAACCAGCACAGGAATGAGGTCATTTAATTTTGCTTGTTTTTTTTCAGCAATTCCGTCGATCATTGATTACAGGTCTTTTTCCTACACCCGTCAGGTAGAGGGACCGCACATTCTGAACAACACAAGTGTTTAGTTTTGCACGTGGCCTTTTTAGAAATAGGAGCTGACATCTTCTCTTTCTCAGCTTCATCCGGTGAAGCAGGACTGGACATATTCTGTAGACAAATTAGAAGAAAAACACAAATTTTCTAAAATTAGGAGGCATGCAATAAGGGTTAAATTTTTTAGGGAGATTTAAAGTAAATTCCCACCTCAAAAACCTCAACACCCTATAGGAGGGCTGGTGATATAGCGTACCTGTTCTGGCAACTATCCCTGGGGTCAGACAGGTCTTGCACAGCTTTTAAGCCAAAAGAATTTAAATTTTGCGCCAAATATACAAATTTCCGATCTGCGCATGTGCAGTAGTACGATCGAAAGTTCAGTGGAACGCAACGCCTCCCGGGCGTGCGTTCTACTGCTGTGCGCATGAGTCTGTCCTGCCTAGTGAGAGGCCCACCTGGAACCTTCCAGTATCTGGCCACATAAGCTGGCTTCTAGTTGCGTTCCGTAACGCAATGGAATGCAAGCCTCTGCTGCTCGGCTCCCACTTGGGGAGCTTTCGGGCACCCACCTCCCAGGCCAGTAGCGTGTGCTTAGCGCACCAATCTTTCCCACCTATGCCTGGAGGAGCCATGTCTGTCCCTTGTGACGGGACAAGAAGAACTGGGGAACCTTGGAGGTACAGGGATTATAAGACCAGCAGGCAGCATCTCAATTCAATATTTAAATTTTGGGAGGAGTTTCTTGTCCACAGCAGAAGGTACCACCCACTTGTTTACAGTACTGCAACTATACATGAGGCAAATATACATATTTAGTATTTGATGAAAGGGAGGCACACATCCATACGCAAACTTGACCAGAAATGAGACAGATTTCTAGAAGGCAGACTGAAGCAAAGGAGACATATCTTGAGAAGTCAGAATATGAAGCAGGAATGTATTGAGGGACAAGCAGTGAAGAAGTATGCTCCAGTTCATTCAGTGCGTCAAAGCAGGAAGGAAACATACACCAAAAGTCAGGTGATTCAGGGAGAACGAGACGGACGCACAATAGATGGGCTCTCCATACATACTGATTAAAAACCAGTTTTCCGATAAGACAAAGTGCCACAAAAGTACCCCGAGAACCCACAGGTGTCACGGCACAGCCCGAACCCTGTAGACAGCAAGGCGTGGCCGCCCCTTTAAGAGACCTGGCTGGGTTTGAACTCGCATTTCAGGTTCTCTGCTGTGCTGTCCACCAGGGGGGCTTCCGTATCTGTCTGCATTATTCTGCCTACTGACCCCTTACCTGGATTGAGACGTACTGATCCACCTGCAACCCTTTTCCAATTAGGGTCAGCTGCATCTAATTAGCAGGCTGTAAAAGCCAGCCCTGCCTGAAACCTAGGATCTGGTCATTTTGCCAGTTTGGTGGTTCCTGACGGATCTCTGCTTCGCTACTGACTGATTTCCTGGACTCTGACCTCTGGGCCTGCTTTTCCGACTACGTTACTCCACTGCCAGCCCTGACTTCTGCTTCTCGTCTGACCCTGCCTTTGGATTTCCCCTTAATCTGTACTGCGCTTTTGGTTTTGCCTCCTTACTGTCCTCTCCTGCAACTGGGCTCCAACTCCTGGTAAACTGTTATATAAGTCCCTAGGTGACTGTTACAACAGGGTACATGGGTCGAAAAAACAAAAAGCAAAGACTGGATAAACCCAAAACGGGATCAGATATCGGCGATTTTTCCAACAGGCGCAAGGGGCACATGGGCCCAAAATGGCCGCCTGCCTCGCAGAATTCACAGACTCATCAGACGACCTGAGCCTGGATGAATGGCGTTATGCACTGGCGGTTTGTTTGCCCCGTTAACGCAGCCAACCCTAAAAAAGGGGCCACCCGGCCCAGTCACCACAGAGACATTGAGATCCATGCTGAGTGACTTGCAGAGTACTGCAGGCCGACATAGCTCAGCTCCGCACGGACTTTACTGTCCTGGTGGGCGCATAGGGGTATTAGAGGCCTCCTCAGACAAACAGGTACAAGTCAAAGTGGAACTCCAAATAGAAGTGCAAGTGCTAAAATAGCACCAAGAGACCACAGATCAATGATTTGCAGCTCTGGAAGACCTCAGACGCCACAATGTGAAAATAAGAGGCAGCCCTGACGATATCCCAGTGGAGGAACTCCCGCATTTAACACGGAGGCTCATCGGAGCACTTTTAATGCCGAAACAGGCCAGGAACGCGCGCATTGAGGCGCTCTCCATCTCCAGGCTCAAGGGATGTTGTGGCGTCCGCACTGACGCTGATAAGGCGGTGGGTCCTCGCAGCCCTCAAAGGTTAAACACCCTATGCCTTTGAAATTGTAGCCCTCACCTTTTATGCTGGTCTGTCCGGGGACACCCTTCAATTGAGACGGTCCCTCCAACCATTCACGGCGCTTTTGAGGAAGAGCGATATAGAATACAGATGGTTCTCACCAAGGGCTCTACGTGTCCAGTGGAACCGCTTGACCCACACAGTGACAGACCTGCACCAGTTAAGGTTCAAAGTTCCTTAGAATTATTTTGGACTCCTTTACACTTATTTTTCAGAAGAGTTCCAGTAACACTGGGCACCTACTATCTCATAATCCAAGACTCTTTGCCTCACAAAGATTGAACCGTTTGTTTTGGATTTTATTTTTTTAGAAAACTCAAAGTGGTTTTTGTTTTGATTTTTTAACTTTCACTTGATTAGCACTTTATGTTGACAAACCATTGTACTTTAGGCCCCATGAACTGCGATGCCACGCATGAGACTTCACCCATACCCCAACAAACTGACACGCAGGGGACCTCCTCCCCCCCCCCCACCTCCTAGCCTAGCCCGGCTCACCCCCTGACGAAACAAGACACGGGAAATACACAGTCAGACCGAGAGCCTAGTTTAACAGGGCTACCTATGCGGCCTTAACACTGGCATATGGCTCATACCTCAGCGAGTTACATGCACGACTCAAACCGAGAGGCACTCACCAGAACAATCCACCTGAACGTAATTCCATGTTTCCGCCTAAAAGCTGACAGTAACTCACAGGCTTCGCTCTAACCACGACCATCCGACATAGACCATATCGCTTTTAACATAAAACCCCCTACTTCCAAGTACTGCTCACTAAGACAGACAGCATAGCAACATGCATACCAAGATGCCTGTACTGTATAAAATGTCTGAATTGTTCTGGTTTCTGTTAACCCACTCATGTTTGTGAGGTGGGGTAAAAAAAAAAAAAAAAAGCCAGGTGATTCAGAAATCAGAAGTGAGGCTGGACACAGGATGTAGGGCACGGAAAGGCACTGTTTGAGGTTGACCCAGAAGATTTACAAGATACCATTGCTTTGCATATTGATGGCGTTTCACCCTTGGGTTGTGGGTATCAAAGAAGGCCAAATAATATTACTAACCAAACATTTGAGTACTCGGGATGAGAAACTGACCAGATCTGAAACCTTTGACCTCGAGGTCACACATAAGTCTAAAACGGGAACTTTAGCCACCGAACCATCTTATTCCACGTGTCTATGCAAAACAGCCCTTATTACCAATCAAGAAATTTAACAGTGACTTAAATATAATGAAATTACAAGACATCACATACACACTGAAATATAAATATTATTCTAAACAAGTGATGTAAAAATAATAGCCTATTAATACAGGCGTTGGCAATTATAGAAAACACCAACCATGACACCTATAATTTAAATACGTTTCATAGAACTCTCCATAATCACTTCTCTATTTTCCAAAACAAAACAAAACATCTGTTATCTCTGTAAACATTGGTCAAATTCAAATGTATTTATTTTTATAACAAAGAAACAGTGGGAAAAAAAAAAGTATAAGAGTATAACATTGTATTCTTCAAATCCTCTGTAACTCAAGAATTTAACAAAACTTGAGATAGCTAAAGGCACAGGAGTATTCTGTAGCAATAACAGCAAAAAATGTACTTCATTACTTTGTGCACATTCCATTCGCCAAAGAATTTGCACACAAGGTGCAAAGGTTAATTGAGCGAGTAACAGAACATATAAAGTTATATTATATAAACAGGCAATTACACAACTTTTAAAGTAAGCTATCTCTTCTAATCAATAAAATCTTTATTACTTGCCAAAGCTAATTTTGTTTTTAAGTGGTCAGTTAATGGCTAGGCAGGTTTACAAGCATAATATATTGTTGCACTGAAGCTGAATAGAATTAAACTTCTAAAATGGTTCTAAAAACAGCATCTTATTAAATAGCAATTTATACTTATACAAACACTACATGCAAAAAATATAAATCTATGTGTACCTGTCATAAAATACATATTTATATTCAGTTTCTATATAATAGGGCAGTAGAACTGCTAGGAAAAAAATATAAATAAAAAGACATGGCCCCTCTCCTCCCCTGTCATTGAGTGATTGGAGAAAGCAGGAGAAGGAGAGCCCTCCTAAAGGCCGTTTTCCTACTCTCTGTGACAGCAACTGCAGCACGTACACTGTAGATATACTGTCAATGAAGTCAAAATGTTTGCATCATGGGTTAAGATACGCACTACTTTTGAAGTGTTCCAAATTATGAGCAAATATGCAGGAAAGAGCCAAACAGAGGATTGGTTAATTGACGTAAACCAGGGTTCTTACCAGTGCCAGGAGCCAGAGAAGAAGAGTTCCGCATTATCAATGTCAATTTCGTCCTACCTGAACTGCACTGTGGCTAGCCTCTACAATGTGCACACAATTTGGCCAAAATGTGTAGCAATCAGCTGAACTGGATATCCTGGGCATATTACAAATCTGTGCAATTATGTGTCACTTTCAGTGCTGAGATTTTGTGCAAAGTATAAAAAGGTTACTACTGAGTGTCTATGTTAGACATTCTGGTAGTGACAGGCATGCTAGCTAAGAGTGTGTATTTGTGCTGGGAAATTTACAGTGGGTGGTTAAATTAAAAGGTCAGGTGTGAGTTGTGCAAGGTGCTCCTGTAAGTCATGACAGGTTTTCTTTAAATTAGAACATCTCTGAAAGCAATTAGCATATATGATTGATCATAAAGATAAATGATCTACATCATTGCTTAGGAAATGTTAAAGGGTTACCCTACCACTTTAGTGACCCTGTCTGGATGTGTAGTGTTTCTGCTTGAAACACTGCATATTCAAAGATATTTACACTTGTGTGTCGGGTGCTAGTTACACTCATAACCCTTCTCCCTTGAGACAGGGTGTCTGTGAGCATAAGATCACTTTCCCTTCTGCCTCACTCCATTACTTATATTTTATTTTAATTTGAGGATCCCTAACATTGTGTGCGCTCTTACCTTGTGGAAACCTGGAATTGATTAAAGGGACACTACAACCACCAGAACAGCTACAGCTTAATGTAGTTCTGTTGAATATGGCATGCCAATGCAGGCTTTTTAATGTAAACACTGCCTTTTTAATGTAAACACTTGAGGTGCTTCCTGCCATTCAATGTCTCTCCACACTGCATTGAGACGCTGAATGCTCCCCACAGAGATGCACTGATTCAATGCATATCTATGAGGAGCTTCTGATTGGCGTGGGCAGCATTTGGCTCTTCCCCCAACCTGCCTCCTCGGCTGAGACAATCAATTTTGATAAAGGTCAGCCAACAAGGCGGATTGTGGGCAGGTCCAGCGCCAGAAGGTACATTTTCTTATTATTGAAGGGGAATGAGAGGGGGAGGGACTGAGAAACAGAGCGAGCTCAATTGAGTAACACGTGTTTTGGCACCCACTACATGAACTCAGATTTGTAATTGCTTTTATATCAACTGTCTTAAAAGCGGTTTGTAACCTTTATTTTGGTTAAACCTTTTACCACTTGCCCAGCACGGTTTATGGTCCAATGTAGTTTCCAGAGGTGATCTTTTTAAGGTTTTGCCAGCCTCCAACTTGGTAACAGGTATTCAACCCCAGAGCCAAGATTTGTGGGCTCCGAGCAAGGTGGGCTTAAGCAATCTGAGCAAATTTGTATAGAGGTTTAGCATATATTGCACAATTGGTGCCTTTTCTTCTTTTTCCAATGTCCACAACTGAAAAGCCATTCGATGGGAGGTGGTATCCTACCTTAAAAGCATAGAAGAGCTGTTTACAGAGCAAGTAGTTACATGCTCTGACCCTTGTAAGTGGACTTTATTACCATCTATTCCAAATTTTATGTACATATCTGCACTATACATCTGTTTCTGCTTTCTCCCCTCTATGTATTTGTTGTATATCAAGGATATATCATTTGACCAAGGGTAAGAAAAATAGCACATACATGTTTTTTAGCGCTCCACTCTATCACTTTGACTCCATCTGTGTGTCAATGCATATGCATGTGTGTCAGTGTTTGTATGTGGGCCTGGGTATCTGCATTTGTCAGTGTGTATCTGTGTTTCTGAATGTGTGTGTATCTGTGTCATTGTTTGTATCTGTGTCCATATATCTGTGTTTATGCATCTGCATGTGTTTCAGTGTGTGGTGCTGTATGTCTGTATCGGTGAGTCTCATTGTATCTGTGTTTCTGAATGTGTGCATGTACCTGCATGTATGTCAGTGTGTCTGTGCAACTGCATGTGTGTTGGTGTTTCTATCGGTTTGTATGTATCTGCATGTGTATCAGTGTGTGTGCACAACTGCATATTTTTCAGTGTGTGTATCTGCATCGCATATAAGGAATATATACACACACACACACAAACATACATGCCTGGGAAAGTCAGCTGTCTACGTGTTTGACAGACAGATAATTGGCAATGTGAACTAAAATGAGAGTTTAATTCACAAGAGCTGACAGTCTGTTTAACATTAAAGTGTCTGACATGTTTTATGGATTACTATTATTTTTCATTAACTTTCTCTAGACCAGCCATGAACAGTGCAAGACTGAAACAAGTTTGCGTAAATAGAAACAAAACGTTCATTTAGGATATTAAATCTGCTTTGCCAAGACTTAATAAACTGGCTTGAACATATATACAAAAAAGAAAGAGAATGAGACTTTAAACCAGACACCATGCATGCATTACAGTACGACAGTGAGCAGAATAAAAAAAAAAAGTCAGACTAAATAGTACAAGTGGTTCTTATCTGCAGACAAGTTTGTTACATTGATTTCAATGAACTGAGGGCATTTTGATTCCAAGCCCTACAAAAGTTTCCAGAGAACTGGGCACAAAACAGGATGGTGACAGCATCTTCTAAAAATGCATAAAGAGCTGGCCATAGATTGAGCATGATGTCAGCATAGAATTCTGCCATCCACAATTGTACTTACACAGGAACTTTCCTCCTTTTCCTGAGCAGTTACAGCAAACACGGCAGACCTAAAGAACTGTATGTATTCTAAAACAAATGTGCATATAGTTTTGCAAGAACACACGTTAAATAAATCCAGATCCCCAAAGAAATATAATACAAACATGGAAAACCGAGCGATCAGAAGAGCTCAAATGTTCCAGATGATTTACAATTTTAGCTAGTAGCTGGTAGTGTATGTTAGAAGAACCCTTAAAAATGATTAAATATTACAAAAATGAGCACATCATAAAACCTAAAGCGTTTATTTTAGAAACCACGAGAGACAGAGAGTGAAGTACTCGCTGCCGTGTAATTGTTTAAATAACTATATGCACAGGAAATTTTGGCTGAGAGAAAGAAAGTTTGTGAAGTATACTTTTATCAATGTTTGACATTTTAAAACAAGTCTGAATCTGGGAAGGGCTGTATGTAATAGTACAATAAGTAAGCCATCACACTACCACTGTGCTACCAAATACCTACCAGACTCACTGAATCTTCACACCTATTTGTTTGTTTTTTTATTCGTTTTAACGGTGTTGATACTTTGAACTGAATAAAGATAATATTCTCACTTTGCAGTCTTTTGTCACCACAGGCAACATCTCCACCACACACACCGTTTTCTCCTGGCCTGATAAGCTATTGTACACACATGTATGCCTTACACTCTGTTTGCATATGTAACTTAATTCCAGTTTCACTGTCACCACACACCAATTTGAGTGGTATGGAAACCTTTAATATGTATCCTCTAAACTTGATGAAGCAGCAAGCAGACCCATTCACATATTTCTGAATTCTGCATTTGCTTTTCTATAGTATATTTGGAGTGTGACTGAAAACTGACCATAAACATGCAGGTAAGCAATAAGCGCACAGTGGTGCACAGTTCTAATTTCTCTAGCTTAGTGGTTCCCAAGCCAGCCCTCATGGCCCACCAGCGGTCCAGGATTTATGCATTTCCCAGTTTCCTTCCAATGGGGATATTGACGTAACCTGGACTGTTGGTGAGTGTTGAGGACTTGTTTGGGAAACACTGCTCTAGACTGTAAGCTTGTTTGAGCAGAGTTCTCATCAACCTATTTCTCCTGTAACATCTTGTAACGGTCTCAATAATTTATGCCTTTATAATATTGTAAAACGCTGCAGAATAAGTTGGCTCTATATGAATACCAGTAATAATAAAAACTATTAAATGTTACCTTTATAGCATGGATTTCTTCAAGTAGCCTATGTGCCCTCCTTTGATTCTTAAGTAACAGCTCTTCTGTCCCCCTAAAATTATAAACATGAATTATTTGTGTGTACCCAAGTAGGAAAAAAACAAAACACAAATATTAATAAAGCAACAATAAAATATTTAAACTAATCATTGGAAAACAAGGAGCAGGCAGCTCCTCCTTCAGCATCCAGTTTCAACCAGGAAGAGGAATGGAGCAGAAAGGATATGTACGATCTTGCATGGAAAGCATCAGCAGGAGATTGGCTAAACAAGTAAATGTACATACTTAACTCCAGTACGGAGCATGGAAAGGAGGTTATTAGTACTATAACTAAGTTGTATGAATAGCATGTGCATCTCCAGACTTAGGATATAATGGCAATTATCTGGAGGAAGACAAAAATACTTGGTAAAAAGGTAACATTGGACAGTGAATAAGGAGTGCTTCAAGACACATTATCTTGAAACTGTGTGTTATTTTTGTCGTGTGATGGTGTCAAAAGTTAAGTGCTGTCTAATAGCAACCAGGAAGTGATTGGGTTATCAATGTTCTTTGATATTCCATACACCCAGTTTAAATGAGACCTACGTGCTTTTCATAAGTAGACATGCCCACAACCTGGCAAAATATGTGCACTCAGCTGTTTCTTTAAGACTGAAAACAAATTATTTATAAATGCCAATGAAGCTGTTTTTTTTTTTTTTACTGTTTTTATTTATATTTTTGTCACTTCTGTAATAACTGGTTTTGCACTTTTATTTTTTATTTATGGAAAAAGATTATTTATAATCCTTTATACTACTACTGCAACGTGTGCATTAACAAACGTTAAACTATACAAGTCAGGTACATAATGACATTTTTAGGTATCCATGAACAGCTGCCTACACACAAAATTGCTGCTTGTCCCACATATATAAATGCTAGCTTTAAATGCAAAATGTTAAGTGTTTATTAAAAGACTAGATAGAAAATTACAATATGATTTAAAATAATTGCTAAGAATCCAACCAGACCTATACAGGAATACTTTAACACACCATTATCTTTACTGAAACAGAAATGAGTCACTGACCGACTGAACTTGTGTGCTTCAAAGTACTGGATTCCAGGGAATTTATTTATTCAACATATTTGGGATCTGGAGCTCATTTCTGCGACATACACAGAAAGCCCTTTTCAAATTCTATTTCTGAGAAATTAATCACACCAGAACAATAGAGATGCACTTACTTCTTGGATTTCAGTTTCGAAATGTGCCGCGTAAGTTTGCGGATTGTTAGAACTTTGATCTTTTTGACATCTTTTCTCATTTTCACAACCTGTTGGAAACAAAGTTTATGCATATCATTTAAGAATTTGGAGAATGAAATACACATTTGTATAAATAGTTGTGACATCTCGTGCAGGGTCCATAGTTATTATATTAAGCAATTACTGTAAGGATGGAGGAAGAGGGAGAGCAAAGATTGTTTCGGAATGAGGTTTATGAATCAAGACGAGGTGAAGAGTTCATACTATTGCAATATCTGTGGCTAAGTGTAGGTTTTAATAGATTTTAACAGAGAAGCACAATTATTTCTTGCACTGTTTGTTTTCCATATACATCAAGCACAGAGACTTAGTCCCCTAAAGAACAAAGAGGAGGAAAAAAAAAAAAGTTGCATATGGAAGAAGACTGCAAAATGGAATAAAACTAAGAAAAGCGCAAAGAGATAAATAACAGTTTCAGGGCAAGTTTAAAACCCATACAATCATTGAAAATCTTTGCTAAGCTGCTGATATGTTAAAGCTCAAATGACACCAAACACTAAAGAACTAAAAATAAAATACAATTCTTTAAAAAATAAATAAATAAAATGGTTTCTTAACCCCTTCAGGACGAAGTCAATAGTGCACGTTCTGATCAAAACAAGTAAACAAAAACTGGAATTTGCGCTATATGTCTGTTCACCCGTAATTCACCACTGTCATGTTAAGTGCACCCACACTTATTATATATCATTTTGTTCAGGAGAAACAGGGCTTTAATTTATCATTAACTATTCATATATGGAACATAATTTATTATGAATTTTAAAAAAATGGGAGAAAATAAGATTGTTTTTTAAAATTTGTATTTCCATCTGACATTTTAGCTGTGAATGACATTATGCTGTTAGGTTTTACTGCATAAAATGCACATATTTGTAATCAGTGATGTCTCACGAGTACAACAGTACCCCCCATTAACAGGTTTTATGGTGTTTCGGAAAGTTACAGGGTCAAATATAGAACGTTCCATTTTCAAATTGAAATTTGCCCGATTAGTAATGTTACGTTTGAGACGGTGTGGTAGTTCAAGAATGAGAATTACCCCCATAATGGCATACCATTTGAAAAAGTAGACAACCCAAGGTATTGAAAGTGGGGTATGTTTAGTCTTTTTTAGTAGCCACTTAGTCACAAACACAGTGGTCCTTTAATGAAAACTAGGTTTTCAAAATGTGCATATGAATTAAACAAGTTATCCCTTTTATTATTATTATATTTATAGAGAGCTGTCAAATTCCGCAGCGCTTTACAATGGGTGGACGAACAAACATGTAGTTGTAACCAGACAAGTTGGACACACAGGAACAGAGGGGTTGAGGGCCCTGCTCAATGAGCTTAAATGCTAGAGGGAGTGGGGTAAAATGACACAAAAAGGTAAGGATAGTATTAGACTAGTGACCGTTGCAGAAGAGGAATCAGTCAGGAGCTATTAACAGTTTAATTAAACCAGGGGTCCTCAGACTTTTAAACAGGGGAGCAGTTCACTGTGCCTCAGACACAGTTGGGGGCCGGACTATACAGTTGCAAGAAAAAGTATGTGAACCCTTTGGAATGATATGTATTTCTGCACAAATTGGTCATAAAATGTGATCTGATCATCATCTAAGTCACAACAATAGACAATCACAGTCTGCTTAAACTAATAACACACAAAGAATGAAATATTGCCAAGTTTTTATTGAACACACCATGTAAACATTCTCAGTGCAGGTGGAAAAAGTATGTGAACCCCTAGACTAATGACATCTCCAAGAGCTAATTAGAGTGAGATGTCAGCCAACTGGAGTCCAATCAATGAGATGATATTGGGCGTGTTGGTTACAGCTGCCCTGCACTATAAAAAACACACACCAGTTCTGGGTTTGCACTAAAGAGCTCTCAGAAGACCTATGATTAAGAATTGTTGACTTGCATAAAGCTGGAAAGGGTTATAAAAGTATCTCCAAAAGCCTTGCTGTTCATCAGTCCGCGGTAAGACAAATTGTCTATAAATGGAGAAAGTTCAGCACTGCTGCTACTCTCCCTAGGAGTGGCCGTCCTGTAAAGATGACTGCAAGAGCACAGCGCAGACTGCTCAATGAGGTGAAGAAGAATCCTAGAGTGTCAGCTAAAGACTTACAAAAGTCACTGACAAATGCTAACATCCCTGTTAGCGAATCTAGAATACGTAAAACACTAAACAAGAATGGATTTCATGGGAGGATACCACAGAGAAGCTACTGCTGTGCAAACAAAACATTGCTGCACGTTTACAGTTTGCACAAGAGCACCTGGATGTTCCACAGCAGTACTGGCAAAATATTCTGTGGACAGATGAAACCAAAGTTGAGTTGTTTGGAAGAAACACATACCACTATGCGTGGCGAAAAAAAGGTACAGCACACCAACATCAAAACCTCATCCCAACTATGAAGTATGGTGGTGGGGGCATCATGGTTTGGGGCTGCTTTGCTGCGTCAGGGCCTGGACGGATTGCTATCATCGAAGGAAAAATGAATTCCCAAGTTTATCAAGACATTTTGCAGGAGAACTTAAGGCCATCTGTCTACCAGCTGAAGCTCAACAGAAGATGGGTGTTGCAACAGGACAATGACCCAAAGCATAGAAGTAAACAACAGAAGAAAATACGCCTTCTGAAGTGGCCCAGTCAAAGTCCTGACCTCAACCCGATTGAGATGCTGTAGGGTATGACCTCAAGAAAGCGATTCACACCAGACATCCCAAGAATATTACTGAACTGAAACAGTTCTGTAAAGAGGAATTGTCAAGAATTACTCCTGACCGTTGTGCACGTCTGATCTGCAACTAGAGAAAACGTATGGTTGAAGTTATTGCTGCCAAAGGAGGTTCAACCAGTTATTAAATCCAAGGGTTCACATACTTTTTCCACCTGCACTGTGAATGTTTACATGGTGTGTTCAATAAAAACATGGCAACATTTCATTCTTTGTGTGTTATTAGTTTAAGCAGACTGTGATTGTCTATTGTTGTGACTTAGATGATGATCAGATCACATTTTATGACCAATTCGTGCAGAAATCCATATCATTCCAAAGGGTCCACATACTTTTTCTTGCAACTGTAGTTTGAAAAAAATTTGAACTAATTCCTATACATACTGAAACAGATACATAAACATATACAGACACACACAGGCATAAGGACATACATACACACATACAGAAATACACACACACATAATGCCATACATAAGCCTGCATGGAAACAAAAATTTAACACGTGGCTGCCTGACGAAGATGAAGTTGTTCTTATTTTGAAACTACAAATATGTTAGACACTTTTTAAATTTCTATGAGGAAACAAAAGTAAAGAAAAGAGGAGTAAAGTAAGCAACGTTTTATCAGGTCCTTCACTGCTGATGACTGAATCTGGCCCTGGGTGTGTTCATAAATATAAACTGTTAGGAAATCATAAAAATCTGCTGAACACTTATCAGAGCAAGTACAATCCCCTTTGCTATCTATCATATAATTATGCGGAATATGGCATTTCCTAAAACATAAATATTGAGTTAAAAAGAAGACATGTATACTTCAAAATAATTAGTAATTTAAGGTATGTAACAGGATTCTGTAACCATTGTAAATGAAAAGTTTTTACTGTTATGAGAACATTTGTAATGTGTCTTTCGATCAGCATTAGAAAGTACCAAAATGCAAAAGCTATCTTTCCATACAGCTCTTTTCTTTAACTCCTTATAGTTTCTTAGGAGATGGCATAGGACATCCTTTAATTGATGTATGAACAAGGCTAAATCATTGCGCACACCAGAGAGGATCAAGGTACCGAGTCTGGATAGCTGGAGCTCCCTTTAGTCAGCAAGGAGGGCCAGATTTAATGACCCAAATACTCAACAAGTATTGTCGTATCCCAACATAAAAAAAAAAAAAAAAAAAGGGGAGTTGCTTAACTTGCACGTTTACCATGTTTGCAAGTTGCCATAACGGACATCGCTGTTTGCTGGGGCTTAGTGAATAACCATAAACTTACCAAAAACTGAATGTGATCGAACTGACCACAATGACAATTCCCATATTTATTGAAGGGACACTATAGTCACTACAACTACAGCTTAATTTATTTGTTCTGTAAGTAAAGTCAGTCACTGCAGGCTTTTTGCAGTAGTAATTACAGCCTAGGGTCACCTCCAGTGGCCATTACTCAGAAAGCTACTAGAGGTGCTTCCTGTGTCAGTGCTGCACATACAGTGTCTCCACCCTCTGCATGGAGACACTGAACTTTCCTCATTTAAAGTTGCCCTGAATCAATGCATCTCTATGTGGAGATGCAGATTGGCCAGGGTAGTGTTTGGCCCCGGTCCTGTCCCACCTCATTGGCAATCTCAGCCAATCCAATGCTTTCCTATGAGAAAGCATTGTGATTGGCTCAGATCATCACTTCTGATGTCAGCCAAGGAGGAAGATCAGGGGCTGAGCCAGCAGCAGCAGACTGGAATAAAGTTATGATTTTACTATATTAAAGGGGCAATGGGGGAGGGGACAGATACAGATTTTAACACTATAGGGTCAGAAATACACGTTTGTGTTCCTGGTGCTACAGTGTTCCTTTAAAGTCAAATATGGATTTCGGTTGGCCCGGGTGAACCTGCAGCAATCAACCAGATGTATTCTTTTTCCAGCTTAAAATCTGTGCTTTTGTATCAAAATCCCATGCAAGGTATAAGATTTCAAAGACTGACAAAGCACACTCAAACTATCGTTTACTTGCTTTCATATCAGCCTGCAAGCAAATAGTTAGATAACCACCAGCGATGCAAGAGCTAATTAAGTGGCACCTTGGCAGCCAGCAGCAACATAAAAAAACAATCCTACAGGGCTCAATAAGCCCCCATATTTATATAATGTATTTTACTTGGCAATGCTCCCACATTGCCACATATCTGCTAAACTTTTAAAGCTAGCAACTGCCCTGAAACTAGAAAAGGCCATATTCCATGGTGATGGTAACCGTGAAGTAATGAAGGGGAGGGGGAGAGAAACAGAGTCACCCCCACGGACTTTGGGTGCGGGACATTTAAATAAATAGGGTGTGGACAGATCACAATCCACCCCCCTGTCTTCCCCCATGGAGAGTTGGTGGGGACCTTAAATATAATATTAACTATATTGTAAAGTTATAGTGTAGTTTAACATATAAATTCAATATATAACTTCTATAGTAAAGCTTATGAAATAGCAAGCCTATGAGTTAGGGAAGGTCAAAATAGCTTTCATACAACATTTACAGTAACATGCCCATCTTAGGTGGGAAATTTTAAACACAAGCTGATAAACCAGGAACAATTCTCATTTACTGCTTTTTTTTGGTTTTTATTGTTAGCATTTTTACAATGCCGATATTTTATGCAGCCACAAGTAATTGACTACCAGAAATTATGTTAAAAATATTCAATGTTATCTGCTATATAAAAATGTTTTTACAAACCTATCTACTTGAAGAAGACACAAAGGAAAAAAAAAAAAAGGTTCTTGGACCTGTCACATATTATTCATGAGCAATTAAATGTGTATTTAAAAAAAAAAAAAAAAAAGACGACGAGGAAAAATGAAATCCCCCTTCCCAAATTACAGGTTTCCCAAAAGACTGATAAAGGTTTTTCAATCCTCACAGTATTCATGTGCTGGAGAACAACCTTCAGAATTATTATTCCATCTGCCCAATGTAAAATCGCTGGCAGACTGCTGAATGCACCGTGTAATCTGAGACAAAGAACAAACAGTCCCGTGTAACAATTCAACGGGACAGCCACATAACACCACCTCAACTGTAAGCCACAGACGCAACGTCACAAGAAAACTCCATTACTTGAGACTATTAACGAGCATGTGCACCAAGTAAGATTACTTTAAGTGTAGATTTACTAAAAATATATTAAAGCCATTAGAGGGAAAACTAAAATCTATAGATCATATCTATTGAGAGTGGAAATTCTGTTTTCATTCAGGACTGTGATAATTTGTTTACAGTGTCCATAATTGCACGGGTGTGATTCTGCACATCTGTATCAAAGGCTCAAAATTACTTCTTTTAAAGACTGTCCTTACAACTGAATCTGTTTGATCTTGATTGTGTAACAGACACAGGGCATTACACAAGCTGAACCGCTACCACTGCTGTTACCCAGTAGATAACCCACATTTTTAAGGGAAAATAAAAGTTTCACTCGCAAAAAGCATCCAGCAGCAAGTGACCATAAATCAAAACCAATGCTTTGATTTAAAAAGCTGTGTTTAAATTAGAAATACAGTATTAAGTTTGAAGCACGGTGCCTCTCAGTGCTGAGCACGTCAAGCTGGGAATTCTGAGAGAATTGTGGAAACGTGATTTCTCAGAATTCCTGTGCCTAATGAGATATGCAGGTGATACACAACGTGTGTGTTTCCTTCTTGTTAAAATACGTTCACTGTTATGTTAAGACATTTTTGCATTACTGGGTTTCACTGATTTTAGAGACTTTCTTATTGAGCATTCTTGTGCATATTTTGATGCAGGGCTAATGAAAGTCACTCACATTTCATTTATCTTATTTGATACTTGGAAACCAGTCAACTGATCTGGATGAAATTTTCACAGTTTGAAGTGGCTACCAAACTGATATAGAATCCAAAATGTTACTACAGCCCTAAGTTATCCAAAATAACAGTTTGTGACAAAAAAACAAAATCGCTTACCCATAGGGTAAGCTATTAAAGGGACACTATAGTCACCAAAATAACTTTAGCTTAATAACGCAGTTTTGGTGTATAGTTCATGCCCCTTTAGTCTCACTGCTCAAGTCTCTGCCCTTTATGAGTTAAATCCCTTTTTTGGCAGCCCTGGGCACACCTCCCTGCATGTGACTGACAGATTTCCTAAAAGCTTCCTGTAAAGAGTCATATAATGTTTACATTTCCTTTATTGTAAATTCTGTTTAATTTAGAATTTCTTATCTCCTGCTCGGTTAATAGCTTGCTAGACCCTGCAGGATCCTCCAGTATGTAATTAAAGTTCAAGTTACAGAGAAGGAGATACAACCTTTTAAAGTAACATCTGATTGAAAGTGAAACCATTTTGTTTTCATGCAGGCTAGGAGGTGTAGCTGCGGCTGCATAAACAGAAAGAAAGTGATTTCATTCCTAAATGGCAGTGAACTGAATAGGGAGACTTCAAAAACATGATTTATACACAAAAACTGATTAATTAAGCTTACATTGTTTTGGAGCCTATAGTGTTCTTTAAAGCTTTTGTATATTGACTCACCAAGAATAGTAAGTTCACGAACTGTTCGCGAACTTCCCGCGAACAGCTCGCCACGAACCGTTCGCAGCGAGCTCCGGTCAGCTGACACATCCCAGCCAATCTCCAGCAGACCCTCCCACCTCCTAGACAGCATCCATGTTGAAGCTGCCTTCAACATGGATGCTGTCCAGGAGGTGGGAGGGTCTGGTAGGGAGGGTCTGCTGGAGATTGGCCGGGATGTGTCAGCTGACCGGAGTTCGCGGCGAACCGCGGCGAGCCGTTCGCGGGAAGTTCGCAAACGGTTCGCGACATCTCTAACCAAGAATATACAAAACGCTAAATAGACTGCCCTATGGGTATGACCACTCAGCACATCCGAACTAGTTTTGGCTTGCTTCCCTTGTAGAGTGAACCTAAAACAATTAGCATAACTTACAGCAGGGCCAGATTTCCCAAAAGGCCATAGCCTCGGAGCGGCTGGCATGAAAAGTGCGGCTCAGCCCATTTGGAGATCAAAAATCTTCCTCACCGGCCAGCCCATTCTAATGCCTAGGGAGTTGACTGCTGTAGCTGCTGAACCGCTGCACAAATCAGAGGAGAACAGGTGAGGCTATGACATCACTCTCATAACTACTACACGACTTTCTCCATGCATGTAAGGGAGCGAGAGGGGACTAAAAAGAAGGCAATGCAAGTAAGAGCAATTGCTCCTTACTCTCCATTCCAGCTAGGGGCCAGGGCCAGTCACCAGCCTGTCTAGCAACAGACCTTCCAGCCTAGGGACCAGTCACCTGTGCCCAACAAGGTCACTTTGCTTCTGCACTCGTCAGTTTAAGCGTGTCTGCATATCAAAACACACATACAATAAATAGGATATAATTGATGTGTATATACTTTGCACCAAGATACTTTATATTGTTGATAAGATATCAAATAAACTTGTAGATCAAAGAGACCATGATCTGACCACTAACCACCCATGGTAGCACTAGTAGAAAAGGGGACATGAAAAATTTAATTTCCTGTTGTACAAGAATACAACACATAATGTAAGGTCCGAGAAATTTTATAAGAACAAGACACCATATGTATAGAACAGCATTAAGTAATCTTTGGCAAAGAGAACCCACAACAGATGTAGTGCCAAGAAATAATCTGATCACGAGTGTAGCAGAATCTTACATATTACTTATGGTCTAAAAATATCTCCTGTGTGTATATATATCATTAATTTAACTATTTAAGTTTGATGTATGCTTTTGTTATGCATTTGATATTGTTGTGTATCATATCTTCACCAAAATATCTGCATCTACACCACAACACCTGGCTAGATATACAATTGAGTCCTGTTGCAGCACTTGATGTTCCCAATAAGATTTCTATGTCTAACAATGAGAATTTGCAGTGTTCTGAAGCTCATGTCTGCAGTATGACAGCACAAATGATGATGTGGCAGCCGAAAAACAGCTGCTGGATTCAATCCTATATATACAAACAGCACGGCAATCTTTCTTTCTTCCTTTAATCTGTGGGTTATGGTTATAGCATCCTTGCATATTTCGAAAAAGTAATTTCCTGTAAAATTTCTGTGTCTCTCTCTCTCTCTCTCTATATATATATATATATATTAACCCATATTGTTATAATTTATGGAAGGGCAGTACCATACTACAATACAAACTGTAAAAGCATGTACCACACTAAGAGACAAATAGTAAATTACTGACCAAATGTTTAAATTTTTTTTAAAATCAGTAATTTTCAGAATAAAAAAAAAAGTATATTTAAGCAGTTAGGGGTAGTCCACTACATCAAGGCTTGACAAGTCCCAAGCGCCAGGTCACCATGGTGACTAGAAATTTTGCCCTGAAGTCTGGGATTTGTCAGCCTTCTACTTAAAGAGGCTGGCTGGGCAAACAATAGAGCCAGGAGAATGGAGGCGGTAAGCTCAGGGAGCATTACAGCCGACTGACCACACTGAGGAGCATCAAGGTGGTCGGCTGCTGCAACGCTCGAAGGAGCAATGATCTTCCTGCAGCTCTTCTCTGCTCCTTCGCGCTGTTTACTGATGAAGGAAGTCGAAATATGACGTCACTCTGGTCCCAGCATCACTACAGGGAGTAGAGAGGATCTGCTACTTTGCACACAGGATAAGCAAGCAGCCCCACTGGACCCCTGGGAAAGATCCACTCAGCTCTCCCAAAGGTAGGCAGGCTGGGCGGATTAAAATAATAATAAAAAAAAAAAAGGAAATTTGTGAGTGTGTGTCTGTCAGAGAGTGAGTGTGTGTGTGTCTGTCAGAGAGTAAGTGTGTGTGTGTCTGCCAGAGAGTGAGTGAGTGTGTGTGTTTAGGTACCTGCCCCCCCATTCGATCACAATTGGTGTTTTCACTCACCCTTTTCCCCATGCCATGCTGGTTTCGTCGTGGCTTGTTCCGGCTCCATAGCTGAGATCATAAATCTTTATGATCTCATCTAAGCCAATGTTTTCCCATAGGAAAGCATTGGGAGGATATTGCGCATGTTCTCTATAGCTAACATTAAACGCCTCCATGCAGAGCACTGACACAGGACTCTAGTGGCCGTCTGAGTGACTGTCACTAGAGGTCTTAGTAGGCAGCAATGTAAACACTGCCTTTTCTCTGAAAATGCAGCATTGACACTGAAAAGACTACAGGGACAGGCTATAGACACCAGAACAACTAAATTAATCTGTAGTGGTTCTGGTGACTATCGTGTCCCTTTTAAACTCCCCCCAGCCCCCCAAAAAAATTAAAAAAAAAACTGGCTTCTAACTTTAACTGGCTCCTAGATTCCAAACAAATTTGTCAAGCCATGCACTACATTGTTGGCTATAAAATACCTATACAATTTAAGAGCCAGCAGTAACATTTACAGAATTTGTAGTTTTTCCGATACTAAACAGATACAGATTTGTGTCTAAATACAATGTAAATAGAGGGGAGGAAATAAGTGGCACGGTTCTCTGTGGTCTCCACTGATTCAAGTGAATTTTTATACACATTGTTCCGTTTACTTAGTAGCAATGAATTTTCATGTTTCACAATACTTCCAAAATTCTGCATTGCAAAATGAAGTAGTAGGTAAATCTAGTGTTCTCAGCCTTTCAATGCCATCCAGGTGGGATGGAATAGTGCTCAATAATGAAGAAATATAGCTTCTGTGTTATCAGAGTCGCTATAGCCACTCAAACTATTTAACAAAAAAAAAAAAAAAGCCAACAACTTTTTTTTTTTTTTAAATTCCCTTTTCTCTTGTGCAAGTAAAATCTCCTGTTTTGAAGTCTAAATAGATGACCTGTGTACAATCATATTATTGAACAAGTCACTTGAGACTTCTTTGTATATAAAATAATCAAGTAAGAAAGCTGCGGTCTTCAGTATGGAGGCATAACATAATTCAGATGCAGGATTTTACAGAACGTAAATTCGGTAATTACTGCCAAGATCATTACTTCTGTCTCATGTCATGGGTGCATCTTACAATGAAGACTATGTTTCGAAAGATTAAAAAGAGGCACATTAACCCTAGTAAAGGTGATTTAAACAAATATGTTTTAAAACTTGAATCCAAATGAATTCTTGTGTTTCAAACACAAAAATCGAGCTGATTAAATGGAGAACTCTGTGTCACCCCAGTTATACATTAATTTGTCATTTTTGAGTCATGTGAAGTGTACTTATTTAAAAGTTCTAAACAAAATGGAAAAAAAGAGAAAGAGATAACTTATATTCTAAGACGTAGAAAGTATCTAATCTCCCTTGGCATTTAGGGTGTCTGTGGTATATGGATGAGATCAGTTTAATTTAATTTAAGCTTTTGGATGGATGTGCACCGGTATATGATTTTCTTTTTTCATTGCTCTCCCATCTGGTAGCCTGGAGTACATTTTTTTTCTGTGTATTGGAGCCCATTTAAAAGAGATCCTTGCAATGTTGTTCATTACCTCTGACATGCATTGTTTTGTTTTTGGCACTTTACACAGTTTCTCCTCAATCTAATTATATCGCTGTGACTATTCTCAATCAACTCCTTTGACTTTAGAATTAAGTCAACAGCGTTTTGAACATGGCCATTTATCTTGATTTAACCAACAAATATATTCTATTAATCTTTGTCTTCTTTGCCTTATGGGAATGTTGTAGTAACCGGATTGTTTCAACTTGGAACACTACCCCATTCTGAATGGTGAGTTGTGACAGCTCTCCTCCCATAATGTTACATATGTAAGAAAATGGTCTCATGTACACTCTATGAATGAGTTAGGCTACTTAGGCATGATTAATGATACACGATTAGTTGATATATCTCTATCATTTGGTTTCCCCCTCCCATTGTTGTATATGCATTCTGAAGGCATTCTTCGGGTTTCAAGGCTTGCAATTAATTGCATTTGCACTTAAATCTGTTGATCTAATGTTATTTGCCATAAGTTTATTGCATTTTGCACTGGGGATCGGGATGTAGGACTGTTAGTAGGGTATAGTAGTTACATTTATTATATGTGACTGCAGTGTGTAGCTTCTTTTTCAATAGAACCCTCATGCCTCTTACACATTTATCTGGAGTTTTGGTTTATAAGGCTTATTTACTAAAGTGAGAATTCAACACAAATTTCAAGTTTAAGGACAAAGTGACAGAATAGCTGAATTTTTCCAGTTTTGCTACTTTGACCTTAAATTTTAATTCTCACTTTAGTGAATAACCCTGTTTGTGTGTCCCTTCTGGTATACTGTTACACTGTCCTTCAATCTATCATGAGTAGGCATTTTGAAAAGATACAGATTCTATTTTGAGACACCCACTCCCGATACAATAGTATTATATGCTTTTCACTTATCAAGAAATATATAATTGTACTATTGGTCAGTTTTAACCTATGATCAAGTGGGGTACCACTTTTTAACTCATTATAAAGGTTATTTTTGAATGATTCCCTGTATACTAAATCACTTGTTTTTCCCTTTGTTGTTTGTATATATCTGTACAGTGCTATCTTGTACCCTGAGATGTCTTTAAAAGAACACTATAGTGTCAGGAATACAAAGGTGTATTCCTGACACTATAGGTCTAAATGCACAATTTAGGTGGCCAGCCCCATCTGCAAAGTAAAAGGTAAGTTTACACATTTTTTCCAGCACTGCACAGTTCTCCCAGTGGCTGGATCCGCCTCCTTGGCTGAGATCTAACTTGATGATCTCAGGCCATCCAATGGAAAGCATTGGGAGGCTATCGCACACGCACGTCTAAATGCTGCACATTGTAAATCAGCATTTCCTTAGACATGCATTGAATCAATGCATCTCTATGGGAAGCATTCAGCACCTCCATGTAGAGCATGGAGAGGCTAAACATCAGTGCTGCACAACCACAGTAAGCTGTAGTTGGCCTGGTGACTATAGTGTCCCTTTAAGTAAACAATTTGTTTTGATACCATTTCTTCAAGGGACACTATAGTCACCTGAACAACTTTAGCTTAATGAAGCAGGTTTGGTGTATAGAACATGCCCCTGCAGCCTCACTGCTCAATCCTCTGCCATTTAGGAGTTAAATCCCTTTGTTTATGAACCCTAGTCACACCTCCCTGCATGTGACTTGCATAGCCTTCCATAAACACTTCCTGTAAAGAGAGCCTTATTTAGGCTTTCTTTATTGCAAGTTCTGTTTAATTAAGATTTTCTTATCCCCTGCTATGTTAATAGCTTGCTAGACCCTGCAAGAGCCTCCTGTATGTGATTAAAGTTCTATTTAGAGATTGAGATACGATTATTTAAGGTAAATTACATCTGTTTGAAAGTGAAATTAGTTTTTTTTTCATACAGGCTCTGTCAATCATAGCCAGGGGAGGTGTGGCTGGGTTGCATAAACAGAAACAAAGTGATTTAACTCCTAAATGACAGTGAATTGAGCAGTGAAATTGCAGGGGAATGATCTATACACTAAAACTGCTTTATCTAGCTAAAGTAATTTAGGTGACTATAGTGTTCCTTTCATAACTAAAATTTCTTCAAAAACTAAAACTTTTTTACTGTTAATTTGAACACAACGCTTTAAAGTATGTTTCTTGTTGGTGCTTTATCCCAAAATGCATAACTTTAAACATCTTTTCTGCAACTTTCCTGCCTAGTTCTCTTATTTGTTCAAATCCCTCTGTGGAGAACATAGCCTATTCACATTCTATTACCTTTTCTATATTTGATCATATTCAGTACAGATCAAGATCATAAAAGGAACACTCCAAGCACCATGACCACTACAGCACAGTATAGTGGTTATGGTGCAATACATGACCTGGCACCATACCACGGTAAGTAGTCAAGCTCCTTTAGTACAACTTGACAATTTGCGTGGGTTTCTCCAAGCACCAGCGGCCGCACAGTCTGTTTAAAGTCTTCTTTAGGAAAGTGTAAATAGCTCTGCTGAGCTAAGCTGGGCCATGCAGGACAGCAGTCTTTGGCTGGAAGTGTCAGCCAACAAACACAGCCGTGTACTGGCCATGGTTAGTTGGCTAGAGGCACCTAGATGCAGTACAGGTGGCCTGGGTATCCAGGCAAGATGGGACCTGGCACCTTAACCAGTACAGTGGGCTGGAGTGGTTATGTTAATTGTAGTGGTTATTTGAAAACAGATTACATAGAATGGTATAATAAGATACTTCACTTAGCACTTCTGCCCAGTTTGAAACGTTTCTTCTTTCTTTAAGCCAATGCTCAATCCAAAAAGAAATATTTTCACCCAAACTAATTGATTTGTATTTGTACAAAAACATTTTGTGTGGAACCCTAGATATTTCCTTAGAAAAAATCCAAATACATCAAATCACCTGCAATGTATTGTTAAAAATTAACTCTGGAATGTTATCAATTAAAAGTGCACGCCATACTGAAATTGGAAGATTTTTCATACAGGCTTTAGATTAAATGAACACTACAGGGTCAGGAATACAAATGTATAAACTTACTTTACCTTATATAAAACTTACCTTTAACCAAGCGCTGTGTGCGTCTGCCAGTTCTGGCTCCGCTCCCTTGGCTGAGATCATAATAACAGACGTCCAGATTAGAGAATAGACCACCTGAGTGACTGCCACTAGAGGAGTTACTAGGCAGTAATGTAAACACTGACTTTTCTCTGAAAATGCAGCGTTTACATTGAAAAGGCTATCGGGACAGGCTATAGACACCAGAACAACTACATTAATCTGTAGTGATCCTGGTGACTATAATGTCCCTTTAAGGTTAACGTGCAGATAGTTTTACAAAAAGTGCAATACAAAAGCTGTCTATTTTGCAACCAGTATGGACAGGATTCAACATGCATCACATATCTGCAAAAAAGTTTTAAAGGAGGGTTTAAGAGTGCCCTCTTATGTAAGCTTGGGCCTCTTTAGGAATGGAGCTACTATATGTGCTTTAAAATGAAGAACGACTTGTATATAGTCATAATGCAGATCACACCACCGGCAACCCTTTCATAAGGCTTTAGAAGTCATTCTTAGTACATTAAGAAATACCAGTATTTATTCTCTATGAACAGAAACTGTCTGATGCAATCTAACTACCCCAGGAGCACAAAATAGCAGCTCTACCTTATCTGTCATACCCTTTAGGTAATAAGGATTTTGACACACTGATCAAATGTTTAAATCCTATTTATGTTTTTATACCTTTTAATAGGCATATGGTTTGTGACGGACCCTCCGTCAATCGATGCTCCTAGTGCTTACCAAGGACCATCAGCACCACACCAGACACCATAAGCACTACAGATCCAAACCGCCGCAGCTTTGCTGGGAACTCGCCATCCTCTACCCAACCTGGACCTATGACAAGGCTCCAGGTTCCAGTGGGTGACCCTCTCCTCCAAGAGAGAGTAGCAGGAACAAGCTCTTAAAAGAGCTTAGTGATTATAGCCCAGGGGAGTATACAGAGTATAGCAATCCCCCAGTGTAGATGCAGTCTTTTCCCCCACACATGAGACGAGGTTCTATGTTGAGGGTAAAACAGGAACTCAGCAGATCTGAGGGTTTATTGTCTTTTATACAGTTTTCCCCAGAAGGTTAGCACCCACGTGGACCTTGTGGAGCACAGGACACAAAGTCACAAAACCATTCAAAACAGTCTTGCACAGTTAGACACTCCCAGATAATGTACACAAACCCTCCCCTCTGCCTGTGATACAATTAACAAAGACAATGGACTAACTGAATTAACTCTAAGCAGAAAAAAACAAAATACAACATATCCCCACATCCCCTGATAGTCCCGATCTGGGTGAACAACATATCCAAAAATCACCCAGATCAGTTCAGGGGTTCAGGAATTTCCTGGAAGTATTTTTTCCCCACCGTGCACATGGTCCCATGCCCAAAACAGTTCCATACACTAGACAACAAAACACTGCTGGACAATTTAAGATGGCCGCCGCCGCCTCATATTTGAAACTGTTCCAGTTAAAAGTCCAAGGGGCATTGTGCCAAGTCCCAATATGCACAAATAGTGTTTTTAAAAGGCAATACACCCCAGGGGCCATAGTCACAGGGCAAGAGGCTGGCAAGCAGGCCTCTCCAAAACCCAGTGGCGAGGTTACTTTTGCCACATGGATAAACTGTAACAAAATAATTAAAGGATTGAACAAGCTACCATTCTAAAAAATAAGTTAGCGCCCTCTAGACTCTCTATCAAAAAGACTTCAGTGAGAGAAAAGACTTTCATAAATGGATGTACGTCTCTTCTCCCGGCAGCATTTCCAACAGATATTTGAGACCACAGAAAAGTATTTTTCAGAAATTCTGATGCTTTCCTATGAATCAAGAAAAACACATTTTGCCATTGATCGTGGATCAAGGTTATTCCTAGTTCTCTTTCCAATTGTGCTAAGTAAATGATGAGCGGTTGCATATTCAGAAGCAACCCGTAGAGATGCTACATACTCGTTTTTCTGGCACTATAGTGCCCTGGGGGTGCCCCCACCCTCAGGGTCCCCCTCCCGCCGGGCTCTAGGGGGTGGAAGGAGTTAAACTTACCTCTTTCTCCAGCGCCTGACGGGGGACTCTCCTCCTCTTCGGCTGAATGCGCATGCGCGGCAGGAGCCGCACGCGCATTCAGCCAGAAGTTGCACGCGCATTCAGCCATTAAGCTGAGGTGGTCTGGGTGCCTATAGTGGTCCTTTAACTTTACCTAAAACTGTTCATTAAAGAGAAGGAATACAATACTAGACCAAGCAGTACATGTACCATGTGACTGCACATGGCATGTGGCAAGTAAATTAGTTCCAGACTATACAGATGTTTCTGATAAGAAAGACATGGATATTTCATACTTAATGAATAAAAATCAGCAATTACCAGCAACCCAGATAAAAAAAAAAATGATAACACCCTGATTACAAGCAGAACTATTAAATAATACAGATAAGGAATTTCATGCGTGCAAAATACAGCCACACATTTAAAAAGAAGATTGCAGATTTAGCAAGGTCAATTTATGTTCCTTAAACAAAAAAAAAAACAACAACTAATTTTCTTGTCAACAACTATATTGTGATGGAATTTCGGTGAAATGTAAATTTAGTAGGCAGAGATTTCCACGTGGCATATGTGTATGTTGTATCAGTTAGTTACACGTAGCTAAGATATGTCATCAATGTACTGAGCATGTGCAGGAACTGAAATCACATTCCTTCTCCTTTGTTTCGGATGAGCCATGTGGTCTGCCCATATAAGGAAATCCAAATCCTGTCCACCAATTGGTTAAGGGTATGTGCGGGTGGAGCTATTAATGGGAGGAGTTATAGTTCTATAAAAAGCATGTACTCCATGTGTTCGGCCCTCAGACCTGTTTTGGAATGTTAGTTCAACTGAGACCCAATCGCTATGTTAATAAAGACCTCCTACTTTCTGAAAACCTGCATCCATCTCTCTGTGTCTGGTTTCTGCAAGTTTACTCGGTTACAATATGTTTTATGCTAAGTCACAAATAGACCATTTTATGGTTACTCTGATTTCAAGAAACCAATCTTATCACAGTAAATGGATCGGCACACAGAGGAATTTAATGATGCATCTGGACATGGGGCGATCCTCCCAGAGTACAGCTCTTTTGATCATACTCAAACTTCCAGTATGTTTTCTTTTTTTCCCCCTCATTCCTCAAACCTCCCATGCTTCTCATTTTCCAAATTTTTCGAGTTGACATAATGCCACTCCCCCCAGGTACTGTGCCTGACTCGTCCAAGTAATTATTTTGTCGTTTTTTGGTTTTTTCGGGATAAGTCTTGAATAAACATTTAAAGAATAAAGATAAATAAAATGAAAGGGATAAGCCAAGCACCATGATCCTGTCAGTGACTGTAACTGGTCATGGTGCGTACAGTCTGTATGTGCAACGTTTCAGTAAGTGCGGTACAGAACACTGCTGTCTGAGGTCTGCACCTGTGGCAGAGTCATTACCAAGCTGATTAAAGCTTCCGAATGTCAGTTCTGAGCATAAAAAGCACCCATTGTATCCTCCCTGACATTCCCTTCTCTGTGGCTAGAGGGGGTGATGCCGCTGAAGGAGAATCAGGCAACATTGCCAATTGCCTCAGATATAGATATTTTCGTTAGATGTATTATTTTTGTATGTTTTTTATGCCAGCATAAGTTAGTCCAGCATTGGTTGGAGTAACTTTATTTTTATTTACAATGATTACCAAAATCAAAACAAAAGGAGGTTTGACCATGAATGTCATAATATGTAATCATAACTTAAAAGCTCAGCTCCTTAAAAATGTTAAAGGAATACCAAGAGTAAAGGAGACCCTCTATTTAACACCATGTAACCAAAACTTTGCCATGAGATCTTACAGAATTAACTTCTGAATGAACCTGCCAGTAATTATAAAGTGATTTATGTGGCAATATATATGTTTACATAAAAAACTAAATTCCCCTGATAGCGGATTTTAGTTTCTGGAAACCGTATAAGCCTGCTGTGTCGTTGTTGACATTGCACAACTGAACACACTAACATTATTAAATACATTTACTCACGTACCCCTTAACAACATTAGGGCGTGCAATGCCGTAATACAAAAGGAGTGCTTTAAGTCTGTTAGGGCAGCATATCACACCCTAACAATCAGGCCCTCCCAGGAGCGTGTATACTTACCCACCACGGTGATCTTGGGGGAGGGGACAGACTGCCTGACAACCAAGGCAGTTACCTGCAGCAAATGGGGGTTACTGTTGTACTCGTGAGAGATCGCTGAACACAAATAGGAGTGTTTTAGAGCAGTAAAACATAAGACAATGACATCATCAGTTATTGTGCCGTTTGTGTGTGAAGAATGTAAAAAACAAATATGGATGCTAACTTTGGCCAGGGATTGTGACTAAGTGAATACTAAAAAAGACTGGACATAACCCATTTTGTGTACTTTTGCTAATCGAATGCCATGATGGGGTTACATTTTCATTCCTGGGTTGTCACATGGTCTCACAGGCAAAATAGGCTCAGCAAACCAATCTAGCAAATTTCAATGTGTAAAAACCATTAATGGGCAGGCTCTTTATCTGACCATGTAACTTTCCAAAACGCCATGAAACCTACATATTTGTATGCTGTGGTGTCCCACGGTACATAGGGGGCATCGTTGTACTCATAGGACATCACAGCATACAAATGTGTGTTTTATTGCAGTAAAAGCAAACAGTAATATGACATCCACAATTAAAATGCCATGCAGAGCTCGGGAAATAACATTTCTAAATTTCTCATTATTGATTAGATTATATTCGTATTAAATAGTGTACCATATATAAATATTTGATGTGAAATAAAAACTATATTTCTCCTGAACAAAATGATATACAAGTGTCGGTGCACTTAATATGAAAGAAATTAATTATGATTGAACAAAAATATAACTTATATTCTAGGTTTTATAATGGTTTTGTTCTGGTCAGAACTTGTACAATTTCCTCTGTCCATAAGGGGTTAAAACAAAACTACAGTATAGAGAATTTGCTCAACGTACACTGTATACTTATAAAAATATATAAATTGGGTGCAATATTTTACTATTTTTCAATAGAGGTTTTTTTCTTTTTCTTTTCTACTTTCTACTGCCATCTTGTGAGCATAAAGTAAAATGCAAGTGATGCCTACTAATTTTTGTATTTGTACCTGCACTGTGGGTAGTTTTATTGTGCTTGGTCTCACCACAATTTTTTTGGTACCTAGCTAAATGCTCTCAGAGATAATTCAACTTCCAGATCAGAACCGGCACCATGCTAATGAGAACTAAATTTAAAAACTGCAGTCCATGGGCGTTTTCATTACACTGAACCTTCCGGATTATAGCCCATACTTTGGTTTAGAAAAGGCTGCTTTTAAAACAGTGTCCATTGATAAGGGTATTCACATAAATGCAGTATGAAGTCTGAAACATGATGCCTGTCCATGCTGGAAACATGATTACACAGGTTTCTATGCCCAAGAAGGACTTCTCAAAATCCAACTTGAGATACACGGGTGATCCAGAACTGCAACTTTTTGCAGATGTGTAATGTAATGCACATTTAAGAGTGAAACGCAAATTGAGGGAGTAAAAGAGACCGTTATAGAAACGAGGGCAAAGGTTCTAGAAACCTAGGCACGGACTACCTCCGCCTGGTCAACTCTCTGATACAAAGGACTTTGTAGCGCTTCAGACCCAGTCACCGAAGCTTGACTGTGATTTCTTAGGACCTCTTCCACTGGACCAGGTGGCAGCACTCTTCTTCCAGGCAGGTATTGTACCTTCTGCTCCTTCTTTTCTCTCCCAAGCAGGTAGACACCTCTGCCTACATGGTCTCCAACTCCTGCCTTTACAAAGACACCTATGGCTCTCACCCCTAGCTCCTTCTTAACCCATGCTGGGAATCAGGGACCAGTGCAGTCTGAACACTAACTGGTTATTCCCAGAACAAACCAGACAGGAGACCGAGTACCCAATGGAACTACATACACAATACTTCAGTTTCATTAAGGACCAGCCTCCATCAGCATAATATCAAGCCTATGGTGACAAATTCAATCCAATACACACAATCAAATCACAAAGGGAATTATACAGTCACTCAGAACAACATAATAAAGTATCCACAAAGGGGAGGAAAAGACAATGACCAACAAGAAAAGTGTCCCCTGCTCGCAGAAACTACAATATGAAAATGTACCTTAACAAACAAACAAACCACAGAGTACCTCCATTCAGGTGGTGCACATAGTGGCTGCAATAAACAAGAGGTTTTGCACACAACCATTGCAAGACCTTCACAACCAACAGATGGTGCTGCACAGGTTCCACAGCCAAACCCACCTATTTGGTAGAAAGCATCAGGACAGGAGAGCACACAAACCTTTAGCAAATAATAATACACACTTTACACCTATAATGGACACAAGGTGACAAACATAAGAGTCACCCGGGATCTACATCAAGTGTCCATCTTAGGCTCCCAGTGATGGTTTACTTCCGTCACAGGCCCTATAGCCACTCTGAAAAGACTAAAGTCCCCTGGCACCACACCTTCTTCAGTGGTTAACATTTTTTAATGATTTAACATTGAAATGAGAGTCCTCAAGCAACCGCAAGCCAACTCCTCTGTGCTGTTTGGGCCAATGTTTCCACATTAGCCCAAGCATTGATGAGCACCAGTGATTGGGTGAGCGTGTCAGAGTGTCAGATGACAGACATTCGGAGATAAGACTAAGCAGCCAGAATTCATAATATTTTATGGATGACACATGGACTCTGGTCCACTCAGTTGGGTATTAATGCAGATTTCCAAAGCACACTGTACAATACAACTCAAAATTTCAGTCCTACATCAAGCTATGTTTCGATCTAACAGCAAAGACTTTGTTAAGCATTTTCCTTACAACTGTGTGCTGGACCTTTAGTTTTCTAATTATTATTGAAACTGGACTGCAGGGACGAATCTACATATCATACCCATACCATAGTGAGAACTGTAATAGTGTGAGGGTGGATTTTTACCTTTCTATCTGAATTCCTCAAGTGAGCCAGGCAGTAAGCACCTGGAGATCTTCATTCAGTATTAAAATCATGAAAAAAAATTGCTTAACACTGAAAAGAGGGATCTAATTGGAACCTTTTAATAAAGCCATAAAAGATAACCTTCACTGCAGTAGATAGTTTTTTATGTTTGTAAATACAGATACTCCTCACTTTGCAACCTACTCGGACAACAACCAGAGATACAAAGGGCAAAAAAAAAGCAAATTCGCAAGAAATTCGGAGGGAAATTCACGAGTCTCAAATTCGGAGGGGAATTCCTCTCTAGAGCAGGATTACCTGCGATTCCGAGTATGTACAAGATGTCGGCAAAAAGGAAGAGCATGACTTCACCTGGACAAAAATGGGCTATTTTGGAAAAAAAAAAATACATGAAAAATCACACATACACAAAGAAGCTAAAACAATGTCCAGTTTCAAGGCTTTTAAGGACAGGATGACATTATTGGGAGGAAATGTTGCTGGGCTCAAATTAAAGCCTTTCCTGATCGATCGCTCAGAGAACCCATGTGCATTCAAGCAGGTTAATAAGCACACGCTGCCCGTTTACTATCGTGCAATAACAAGGCATGGATGACACAAGCATTATTTGAGGATTGGTTATTTAACTGCTTCATACCCTTGGTCAAACATTATTGTCTGTAAAAGGGCATTCTCTTAATAATGATCCTCCTGCTCGATAATGACCCAGGCCACCCCCAGCATCTTGATGATCTACACCCAGATGTACCTTTCTAAAAATACAAGTGCAACCGTACAGCTAATAAACCAGGGGGCTATAGCTATGTTCAAAGCATACTATTTACGCACAACTTTTTCCAGAGCTGTAGCAGCAACAGAAAGTGACGGAGTAACTTGTCGTGATTATTGGAATTAGTACAACCTTTTACACTGCATGAAAATTGAATCAACTTTGAAGGAGTAACAGAAAAGTGTATGCAAGGTATATGGCAAAATGTTTTGAGAATAATCTCCAAGGGTGTGGCAAGCACCAGCATATTGATGTCATAAATCAAGCAGTTATGGAACTTGCTAATGTACTTAATTTACTCTCAAACGAGCAAAGCCCCAGGAGGAGGGGCAAAATGCATCTCGGACCAATAACGTGAAGTGTTTGAAGCTTGCACACCGGCGAGACCAGTCACGATCGGAAGGAGTAGGACGGCGGCTACATCCTAACTGTCCTTCACTACCAGAGGGCTGTTGAGCAGACGGTAGACTTTTTTTGCTGCTATATGTGTTTTTAAGGCTTGAAATAAAGGAGTTTTTTTTTTACCTGTAACCCAGGTCACCAGAGCATCTGTTGGATCCCACGTACTCTAGGGACTGATCCTCCCTGGGCATTCTAGCTTTGAGTGGGGCTATTGGCTCAATACCTACAGAGGTTTTATACATATTTGTTTTATTTTTGTATCTTTATTGCACTGGGAGTGCTTTCTGTGTTTCTTTTTGTCTTCAAATTGCAAATTCCACCAGTGTATACTTGCAGAATTGCAAGTATATACACATGTTATAATGTGGGTTAATATTATTTCACTATATTGCATATAAACACCCAAATACCGCTTTTGCTACATAGTATCACTAAGGGTATTCTTTTAAATCTTGCACACCAGCACTTTTGTTTTTTCATTGTTTGAATCTTATTACCAAGATCTGAAGCAATATCGAACTTTATTTAATGTATTGATAGTCTTTGCGCCATCTTATTTTTATAGACTTGCGTATTGTTATTTTTGTATTTTTATGTACACCTTATATAGGGGAATATGTACCACTCCTCCAGGTGTTGTGTAACTTCTATTCCAATTAGGCTTTCATGTGAATACAGTACCTGTACTCTAGTACTGTACAATACCTGTAAATAAAAATGACTTGGGATCCTTCTGACCTGGGCGAAAATCACATTGCGACAAAGATGCGACATACAGCTTTACAGTACCGTACTGTACACAGAAACAAATGTGAATTTCACCCGTCAAATTTCACCCTGGTCAGAGGGTGGTCCTTGTTTAACGACCAAGTTGTAGGAACGGAACTCTGTTGTTGTGTGAGGAGCACTTGTATTTTTACTGTACTGCGAAAATCTCTTTAGAATTATTGACAATACTTGAGGTCAGATTTTCAGATCAGAATTCTTGTACTAGACAGATTAATGAACCCCAAAGATGCTGCAAAGGGTGGAGTTACATCTCTGGCAGCAAAGGCTTCACAGTTACTTAAACCAAAAAAAACTGTGTTTTCATAAAATGCTGGTTTTGGTTAGAATAATATTTCTCAGGTACCCTCTCCCCCCAAAAGTAAGAAATAAAAGCTAAAATTAATATCCACGCAGCGCCCAAATTCTTCTCTCACCCTTATGTTCCTTGGCTGATCTCCCTCCCCTTCTTAAGGAGTGACAACAGACTGAGGGGAAAACAGGGGCAGCACAGAAAGGTGGTGCTGTGCTACCATTGGCTGTGTCACCAGCGTGTTGTCATCAGATGCCAATTTTGCACAGAAGTGACATTAGATAGCCTGGAAATTTCTTCTGGGCTAGCTAATGATGCTTCCGAAGGGGGAACATCTTAATCTCTATATGTGAAAGCTTTCAAAACAGAATGTTGCACATACAGACTTCAGATACCATGGCCACTTCAAGTCACTGTGGTTATGGTGCTTGGAATAACCCTTTGAAGTAAAAAAAAAAAAAAGGAAAAGAAAAGAAAAAGAAAAAGGAAAAAAAGCAAGGCTGTCTTTTTGGGTCTTTATACCATTTCAAATATATGTAATAATCTAGCCGCTATGATAACAGTGATCACCTGAAAACAACGAAAAAAGCAAACAAAATACAATTAGTTAGAGATATAAAAGAAGATCTTTGTGATACTCCAATATCTATGACAGTCATAAGAGTCTAAAAATTGTAGGAAGGTTCTCTATACATTTGTGCTATCCCCTCGTCTCCACTACCTACGACAGAGCTGGAATTTCTGTTAGTGAATGACTTAAAGGGACACAGTAGGCACCCAGATCATTTCAGCTCATTGAAGTGGTCTGGGTGCAATGCTCTTTAACCCTACAGTGGTAATTGTTGCATTTTCTGAGAAACTGCAATAATTACCTCTAAAGGGTTAACTCCTCCTCTAGTGGCTGCCTACCAGACAGCCACTAGAGTGGCTTCTGGAATTGAAACAGACCTTTGGTCAGTTATCTGACAATGGACGTGCACACGCACTGCATGAGGACCTCCAGCGTCAGATTTGTCCCCATAGTAAAGCATTGAATAAAGCTTTCCGATGGGGAAATCCAAATGCGGGCGTGGCCGTTGGCGCACATGCGCATTAGGTCTGCCCCGCCAGCTGACATCGGCGTGGGCGGAGCCTAACCAAGCACCAAGGGACATCTGTGCTGGATTCATGTAAGTGACGGAAAGGGTTTTAAGCCCTTCAGCACCACGGAAGGGGGGCATTGCAGGAGCCTATAGTGCCAGGAGCACAAGTTTGTTTTCCTGTCACTATAGAATCCCTTTAAAGAAACACAAGAGTCACCCAGGTTACTTCATCTAAATGAAATGCCATGTCCCTGACCTGTTAACCCTTAAGTGTAAAACATTGCAGTTTAGTGATGTCCCAAACGGTTCGCCGCGGACTCATCATTGAGTAAACTTTGACCCTGTACCTCACAGTCAGCAGACACATTCCAGCCAATCAGCAGCAGCCCCTCCCACCTCCTGGACAGCTCACTAAGAATGCAGCTTCAAAATGGATGCTGTCCAGGAGGTGGGAGGGGCTGCTGCTGATTGGCTGTAATGTGTCTGCTGACTGTGAGGTACAGGGTCAAATTTTACTCAATGATGAGTCCGCGGTGAACCGTTCGGGACATCACTATTGCAGTTTATTTTAGAATCTGTTTACATTGCATTGTTAAGTTCACCTTTAGTGGCTGTCAAACTAATAGCCCTTAGAGGAGCTTCCGCTGCACTGGCCAAGTAAAATTGACAAGAAAGCTCCCATAGTAAAGCATTAATACAATACTGTACTATGGGGAAGCGTGAATGCGCAAGGAACTCGGGGCGCATACACGAGGCGCCTAATTCTACTCTGCAGAGCATTGTATTGGACATCGGCAGAGGAGGTCATGCCTCCTACATGATGTCACACGAGTTGCTATGGTGTTCTTTAACTCAGAAAATCTAAAAGAAAATCCTCTGCAGGAGCTTCTGAAACCCTGTCCGAAGTAGCATGGGTGATCTACTTAAACAAATACAAAATACAGAGACATTTTACAAGATAGACCGGTAACCAGCATCTAGATTTTAAGCTCATTTAAGCAGGTTCCTCATTAACCTTTTGTTCCTGTTAACATATGTAATAGTTTGCCTCATGTGCTACTATATATACATACTAAAATTGTAAAGAACTGGGGAATATGTTGGCACTATAAAATGCCTACAGTAATACACTATGGATACAATAACACAACATGTTTAAAGTTTATACACAGCAGCAAGATGAGAGCCTCATAATATGTGCTTTTCCTAAAGATCTTTAGCACCAAACAAAAAATCCCATTACTGGAGGGATGGCTGAGAGTCATGGGGTACATTTTGCACACAACAGGAGGGCTAACAACCAGTCAAACAATATTTTAGAATTACATCAAGTCCAAACAATGCTTCCATTGGTTTTTGTGTCAGCTTCCTATGCCCAAGGTTAGCACATCCCCAAAGATTTCATGGACACAACACTTCATGTTGACAGGTATTAAATGAAAAGTGCTGCCTTACAGAAGATAGAATTTATACGTTGCAGAATTTTTCCATGGACTAATGACTTAATTTCTGACGTGAAGCAATTCCATACTGCAATTTTACAGTCAGTACTTTTCATGTGCTGCAAGTCAGTATGCATGACCTATATGTGGACAGGGAACACTTTGTATCCAGTAACCCTGTCCATGAGTGAGTAGCCTAGCACACACAGTGTAAGCGTGCTCTGGAAACTGCTCTCACCTCATTATTCAGGTTCAGCACCGGTTCCATGGCTCGGGCTCGCTGTCTGCGATGAAACACCAGTAATACAGCACCACTAACTTTGCCTGCACACTGGGACCCACGTGTCTTCCTGGTTGAAAGGAAAGCAAACCTAGTGCGCATGCGTTGCTACGGCGGCCGCGAAGCTCAGACTGCATGGAATGTCGCTGGTCTGCTGCTTGCATACAGCATGTGTTCATATGATGAGAAATTAAAATCTCCTTGAGGTCAGTGTGAGCAGTACTATACTAGTTCATATTGGCACATAATGATATATTAGTGGAAGCACAATAACTATTTCTTTTTTTTTCTTTTAGAGTCTGAGCAAATTAAAAATAAAATCCAGACATCTTCACATATTTTAAAACTGGAGGAAAAATGTTATTAGCTTAAAACTTTAACCAAAGTCAGTGGTGGTACCATCAAAATGTAACATACATTTTAATCCATTTTACAAATAGAACTATCAATTATAGGAAATATATATATATATATACTCAAAATGCAATGTTTTGTGGACGCAGGACATACTTGAAAACGAGAGAAATCTCAATGTATCTTTCCTGGTAAAATATTTTATAAATATAAATATATATATACATATATATATATTTAAAGGTACACTCCACTGCCCAAATAATCATACAAATTATAAATACAAATCTGTATTTAGTATACATGACCCCAATGAAAACATGCTTGCATTTAATTATGCATTTCTTTTCACTGGGATTATATCTAAAGCCAGTTTGCAAAAAGCTGCAGTTTTCTTGTCTGCAGCATTTGCAAGTCTTCATCTTCTAACCCCGCACAGATTTTCTGTGGCTGTCCAATCACAGACTTCACAATGCAGCTCTTGCGAGGCAGGTGCTCTGGGAAGTTGCTTCCTCTTGAGTTTAGCTCCACTGAGTTTTAAGCAAACCAGGAAGTAACAAGGTTGTCTGACTGACATCCAGGGGGTGTAACAAGGTTCATTTATAAAAGTGCTAATTTTTATTGAAAGATTCTATTTTTGTAAAATGAAAAAAAGAGGACACAGTCTTAACATATCAAGCACTCCAGGCTTCAAAACTAGTGTCACACAGAGGTTTATGGGACACCTTTTTGCTCTCAATTGCATTCCTGCTTATCTGTTCTAGTTTCATCTGTTAGTGAAAATGCTTAAAGGGGCACTATAGTTACCAGAACAAATGTAGCTTAATGAAGCAGTTTGGGTGTATAGATCATGCCTCTGAGGTTTCACTACTCAATTCTCTGCCATTAAGGAGTTAAATCACTTTTATTTCGGTTTAAGCCGCCCCAGCCACATCCCGGCTGTGACTTATACAGCCTTCATGAAAGCAAAATAATTTAATTTTCAATCAGATTTAACTTTCTTTAAAAGTTTTTTTTTTTAACTCCTGCTCTGTAAATTGAACCATAAATAGTAGGCTCCAACAAGGTCTAGCAATCCATCAAGAGAGTAGGATATAAGAAATTGTAAATTAAACAGAAATTGTGATAAAGGAAGTGTGAACATTAGATTACTCTTTACAGGAAGTGTTTAGAAAGTTTGTGTAAGTCAAGGAGGTGTGACTAAGGCTTTATTAACAAAGCGATTTAACCCTTAAATGGCAGCAAATTGAGCAGTGAGACTGCAGGGGTATGACCTATACACCATAACTGCTTCATCAAGCTAAAGTTGTGTTGGTGACTATAGTGTCCCTTTAATATGATGATTGTAGCCATAACATGGATCCTACCAATTTATTCACAGCTCTATTTGCAGTAATTTGAAATGTTCTGAGTGCAGCACTTTGGTTGAATCAGTGCATCTCTATGAGGAAAATTCAGCGTCTCCATGCAGAGCGTGGGGACGCTGAACATCTAAGGCAGTGATGGCGAACCTATGGCACGCGTGCCACAGTTGGCACGCCGAGCCCCCTCTGTGGGCACGCGGCCATAGGTCGCCGGAGGGAGGGAGGGTGCGCTCCGCCGGCGCATCCATAAGGCGTCACAAGTGGCCGCCTTAGGGCGCACCAACCCGGCGGGCGCAAAACCGAAGTGACCGGCAGGAGGTGAGCGCATAGCGCACAGCGCTCCCTCCTGCCAGGCACTCTGTGTAGCATGGCCGAGCACACCGCGGTACAGGATCTTATGTTTCCTGTACCCGGGCGGACGGAAATGAAGTACTCACAGAGAGAGCACTTCCTGTCCGCTGGGTACAGGAAACTGAGCTCCGCGGTGTGCTCGGCCACGCTACAAGGTAGGAGATCAAGGGGAGGGGGAGAAAACTGAGGGAGGTATGGGGTGAAAAGCAGGGAAGTATGGGGGTGAAGAAAACTAGGGAGGTATGGGGGTGAAACTGAGAGTATAGGGGAAAAGCGAGGTATGGGGGTGAAAAGCAGGAGGTATATGGGGGTGAAGAAAACTGAAAGGAGGTATAGAGGTGAAAAACTGAGGAGGTATGGGGGTAGAAAAGCAGGAGTATAGGGAAAACTGAGGGAGGTATAGGGGAAAAGAAAACTGAGGAGGTATTATGGGGAGAGAAAACTGAGGGAGGTATGGGGGGGAGAAAACTGAGGGAGGTATGGGGGGAGAAAACTGAGGGAGGTATAGGGGGAGAAAACTGAGGGAGGTATGGGGAAGAGAAAACTGAGGGAGGTATGGAGGGGGGAACTGAGGGAGATATTTGGGGAGAAACTGAGTGTGGGATGGGAGAAAAAAAATGAGGGAGGGATGGGGGGAAGGAAAACAGTGGGGGAGAGAGAGGGGGGACGACATACACACAGCACCCTGCCCTACACATATCCACCCACACAAAGACACACCCACCCACACACACACACACCACCCCACACACACACATCACCCTACACACAAACACATCACCCCACACACAAACACATACACTGTACCCATCAATGCAGTGTGTGTACACTCAGCAGTCTGTCTGTGTGTGTACACTCAGAAATCTGTGTGTGTACACTCAGCAGTCTGTGTGTGTGTGTGTGTGTGTGTGTGTGTACTCAACAGTCTGTGTGTGTGTATTTAGCAGTCTATGTGTGTGTGTGTGTGTGTGTATTTAGCAGTCTGTGTATGTGTGTGTACTCGGCAGTCTGTGTGTGTGTATTTAGCAGTCTGTGTGCATATTCAGCAGACTGTGTACTCAGCAGTTTGTGTGTGTATTCCGCAGTCTGCTAAATACAGACAGACTGCTAAGTACACAGACAGACTGTTAAATACACACAGACAGACTGCTAAATACACATACAGACAGACTGCCGAGCACATACACAAACTGCTTAATACACACACAGAGATGTTAATTAGTTCGGACAACTGTATGAGTTGTTTTTTCTAAACTTAAACCTCAGTATTCAGGTTTAATTGCCGTTTTGGCACTTTGAGGAAAAAAAAAAATGGCATGTATTGCGGTTTGAGCACTCGGGCTCAAAAAGGTTCGCCATCACTGATCTAAGGAGTGGCCACTTGGAGGTGTTCCTACAGGCAATGTAAATACTGCCTGTGTTTGCATGAAAAAAGCCTGAAGGGAACTATTATACTCACCAGAACAACAACATTAAGCTGTAGTTGTTCTGGTGACTATAGTGTCCCTTTAATATTTTTGGAAACTGTTATCCAAACTCTTTGCCTACTAACAGTACATGACTTGATTCTCATCCGAGATGGCGGCGGGCTGTAACCCCATGCAATATTACTTTAACACCTATATTGACATTCCATGGTTTATTTACCATCCAACTCTGTACTGACTCACCTGACTTAGGGGTACCCTGCAAACTGCCATTTTTCAATTTACCTTCTTATTCCTCAATACGGTAACACTGTGCTGGTGTGCACACCATTGTACAACTTTGACTGTTTTCCCCACTGTAACGTCTATGGTATTCTCTGACTATACTTGCTTTACTCAGAGATCTCAACTCTGTCAGTTGGGTGGCTGGGGCGTGGGGAGGGGAACAGACTCTGGTAGATATGGTTATGGTTGGTTTTGTTTTGTTCTATGTTTACTTTGTACTTTTAAATGAAAAGGCAATGTCATCTCCTACATTTACCTGCTAACATGTACTTCTCTCAATTGTCAATGAACTTACTCTTTTATATCCAATGTATCTAGTGCATTTATCTATATCTGACTTACTCTACTCCAAGCATGTTAAACTAGTGGCCCATGCGGGCCGCATGCGGCATACAATGAATATTTTAGCGGCAATTGTGTGTGTGTGTGTGTATGACTGTCTGCCTGAACTGTTTTTATTTGACTGACTTACTGTGTTTCTGTGCTTGTGTGACCGTCTGCCAGTAACTCTGTGTGTGTGACAGTCTGCCTGTAACAGTGTGTGCTTGACTGTCTGTAACTGTTCAAGAGCATGAGACTGCCTGTAACTGTGTGTGTGTGTAACTGTAACTATGTGTGACTGTCTGCCTATAACAGTGTGTATGTGTTTGACTGTCTGTGACGTTGTGTGAAACTGTCTGTAACTGTGCGTATGTGTGTTTGTCTGTCTGCAAGTAACTGTGTGTGTGCCTGTAAATGTGTGTGATTTTCTGTAAGTGTGTGTAACTGTATGCCTGTAACTGTGTGTGTGACTGTTTGTATGTGACTGTGTGCCTGTAAATGTGTGTGATTTTCTGTAAGTGTATGTGGCTGTCTTCCTGTAACTGTATGTGTATAACTGTGTAATTGTTTGTGACTGTATGCCTGTAACTGTGTGTATGTGACTGTCTGCCTGTACGTGTGTGTGACTGTTTGTACTTGACTGACTGTAACGGTATGTGAGAATGGGACTGCCTGCCTAGGTGGCTGAATTTGTCCCCAGTCCAGTCCTGGTAATACCCCCTTGGCTTTCGAGCAGACAACAGGTAACACTACTTTCTGGTTTTGTTACCTCAATGCAACTGACCTACAGAGGCTGCAATTCTATGCAAATTGCACTTTTATAAATTAATTGTATTACACCCCCCCTCCCAGCTTTCAACCAGATAACCAGTCCTATTATGTCCTGGTTGTTTTGGTCAGTGTAGCTAAGCTCAATGTTTTTCTATTTGCAGCTGTATCAGCTAACTTGTTGCAATGCCATGTTTCCTTTCGATAATGTGCAACTTTGCACTAATATGGG